AAGGTTTTGGCACTTAACGAGGGGGTAGGTAAACTGGCTCTGGATTCACCCTGGCAGGCAGGCAGGCAGGAAGGCAGGCGGGCGTGCTCAGTGTCCAGCCACCCCGGGCGGCAGCGGGGGCGCCGCGGCGGCGTTGTGCACGGCTTTGGGGCACTGCGCGAAGGCGTGCCCCCGCTTGCCGCAGAGGTTGCACACGATGCCCTTGCGGCAGTAGCGGCTCAGGTGGCCCTCCTCCCCGCACCGGAAGCACCGATCCCGCGTGCAGCTGCCGCTCAGGTGGATCCGGAAGCCGCACTTGAAGCAGGTCTTGGGCTGCCCCTTGTACCAGCTGTAGCCGCGCTCGGCGCCCAGGAAGAAGGAGCCCGGGAGGTGGCGGACGCCGCCCTCGCCCTGGCGCAGCTCGATCTCGCACTTGTACTCGCCGGTCCAGATGCCGAAGCGGTCGGTCACCTTGACGGGCACGGCCAGCACGTCGCAGTGGCGCTTGAGCCAGGTGACGATGTCCTCCACGTCCACCGTCTCGTTGCGGAAGAGGATGAAGAGCGTCTTGAGGCTGGCCCTGCTGCGGCCCAGCACCACGAAGTCGTCCCAGCAGTCCTCCTCCTGGCGCTTCTCCTCGTACACGCGCAGGAACAGCGCCAGCTTCTCGGCCGAGCGGAAGCTCACGTCGAACTCGCGGCTGCCGGGGGTCTGGATGACGGCGTAGATGTCGCCGGGCTCCATGCCGATGGAGCGCAGGATGAGCGCGCCCACCACGAAGTCCCGGGTGGGGCGGGCGCTCTCGTCGCCCTGGAAGCAGATGCGCACGAGAAAGCGGCCCTTGCCCGGGCCCCGGGCCGCCGGGGCCGCCGAGCCCGCCGCCGCCGCCGCCGCCCCCAGCGCGTCCTGCGGGGGCTCCTCCGCCGCGCCCGCGGCCGCGCCGAGCCTGGCCGGCGTCGCCATGGCCGCCCCCTCGGCCTTCCTCCTGCGGCCCGCCTCCGCGGCGCCTTTCTTCTTGCGGGGGTCAGCCGCCAAGCCCGCCGGCTCCCAACGCCGGCCCTTGGGGTCCCCGCGGCCGAGGCTCGGCGCCGCCAGGCCCGCGGGGGCGCCCGGCGCGCCCGCCCCGCCGCCGCGCTCCTCCTCGCGCCGCGGCTCGCGGACCTCACCCATCCTCTCGGCCAGGTTCTTCACCACCTGCGCCCAGCTCAGCTTCCCGCGGCCGCCCGCCGGCTCCTCGGCGGCCCGCGCCGGGCGCGCGGCGGGCAGCAGCTGCGGGCGCCCCCGCTTCCTCTCCTCCTCGGGGCCGCCGCCGCCGCCGGTGGCCATGTTACCTACTTCCCAGCGGCCATGTTGCCTACTTCCCAGCATCCTCCACTCTCTTCAAAATTTTAACAATTGGTAGGTTTTTAAAATTTCTTTATTGTTGAGAGTATTACAGATGTCTTCTCCCCGCTCCATGTGGTTCCCATCCCATCCTAGGTCTTTCTTTTTTAAAAAAAAAACATTTTTATTGATTTCAGAGAGGAAAAGAGAAGGAGAGAGAAAACATTGATGAGAGAGACTCAGCTACTGGCTGCCTCCGGCACACCCCCTACTGGGGATCAAGCCTGCAACCCAGGCATAAGCCCTGACTGGGAATCGAACCAAGACCTCCTGGTTAATAGGTGTGTGTATTCAACCACTAAGCCACACAGGCCAGGGTCTGTGCCCATAGGTAATGCATATCTACACTAATAAAAGAGAAACATGCAAATTTACCATCACTCCGCTCCAATCAGGAGCAAGCATGCAAATTAACCCAACTAAGATGGCGGCCACCAAGAAGCTGGAGCAAGCAGGAGGCTTGGGTTGCCCCTGGCGATGGAAGAAGCCAAGATTCCAGCCTGCCCTGGCCAGCCTGGCTTCCACTCACGGCTACAAATTTTCAATTATAGAAGATACTTGCTTCCAGCCAGCTCTGGCCTTCGCTCAAGGAGGCACTGAAAAAAAGAAAAGAAAAAAAGCCCCTTTCCCAGGCTTGCCACACCCCCATGGAGCTAGGGTCCCCACTGGAGAGCTTGGCCAGCCTGCAAACAGCCAGCTCTCTCCCAGGCTGTCTAGGCACCCCTTTGGGGATCCCCACCCTGAAGGGGGTATGGCCAGCCTGCAAACAGCCCTTAGCCCCTCACTCAGACTGACCCCATGGTTCGATCCCTGTAAACGGGCAGTTGAACATCTTCGAGGGGTCCCAAATTGGAGTGGGTGCAGGCTGGGCTGAGGGACACCTCCCCCACCCCCCCCGCACAAATTTCGTGCACCGGGCCTCTAGTATACATATAAAATCTTTGTTTAATCTCTTTCTGATCCCTGAACCCCTTTTCTCTGAGAAACTTCAATCTGTTCCATTTCCATGCCTCTGATTCTATTTTATTCACCAATTTATTCTGTTCATTGATTTCTTATTTGTTTATTTTGATTTTTAGATTCAATTTTGTATTTATTGCCATTTTATTGTTCATATTTTTGTTCTTTTGCTTCTTCTTCCTCTTCTTAAAGAATACCCTTCAATATTCCATGTAATACTGGTTTGGTGGTGGTGAACTCCTTTAGCTTTTTCTTGTCTGTAAAGCTCTTTATCTGACTTTCAGTTCTAAATGATAGTTTTGCTGGGTAGAGCAATCTTGGGTGTAGGTTCTTGCTATCCATCACTTTGAATATTTTTTGTCACTACCATCTGGCCTGCATAGTTTCTGTTGAGAAATCAGCTGATAGTCATATGGGCACTACTTAGTAGGTAACTAACTGCTTTTTTCATGCTGTTTTTAAGATTCTTTGTCTTTAATCCTTGGCATTTTAATTATGATGTGTCTTGGTGTGGTCCTCTTTGGATTCCTTTTGTTTGGGGTTCTCTGTGCTTCCTGGACTTGTAAGTCTATTTCTTTCACCAGGTGGGGGAAGTTTTCTGTCATTATTTCTTCAAACAGGTTTTCAATATCTTGCTCTCTCCTTCTCCTTCTGATACCCCTATAATATAAATGTTGGTACACTTGAAGTTGTCCCAGAGGCTCCTTATTCTGTCTCATGTTTTACAATTCCTTTTTCTTTTTGCTCTTCTGATTGGGTGTTTTTGCTTCCTCATATTTCAAATCATTGTTTTGATTCTCAGAATCCTCTACTCTACTGTTGAATCCCTGTCAGTTATTCTTTATTTCAGTTAGTGTATGCTTAATTTATGACGGGTCCTTTTCCATGTCTTTGACATTCTTACTAAGATCCTTGAAAGTCTCACTAAGTCCCGTGAAGATCCTTGTGTGACCTTCTAACTATGGTTTTGAACTCTGTATACAGTAGTTCACTTTTTTCCATTTTTTTTTTCATTTGTGACATGTTTCTTTGTCTCTGCAATTTGGCTGCTTCCCTGTGCTTGTTTTTATGTATTGGATAGAAATGCTATGTTTCTTGGAGTGGGTAGGGTGGCCTTATGTAATAGGTGCCCTCCTATAGAGCTCAGTGGCTCAGCCTCCCCAGTCACCTGAGCCTGGCACTCTAGGTGCACCTCTTTATGGGCTGGGTGCACAACCTTGTTGTAGTTGAGTCTTGATTGCTGTTGGTGTCACTGGGAGGAATTGACCTCCAGGCCTATTGGCTGTGAGGAACAGCAGCAGCCATACTGGGAAAGCTGCTGTGCAGGAACACCCTTATGGAGCAGGACTTGCTTCAGTGGGGGTTTGGTGCTCACTGAGTCTGCCTCTTGAGTGTGTTGCTTATGGATGTGTAGTGTTGTAATCTGTATGGTGTGAAGCTGTCCACCGGGTGTGCATTGGCTCTTGGGTCTTAGTGAAAAGTCAGCCACTGCCTGGGGCCACCTGGCAGGAGCTACAGAGAGATCTGCAGCTTCCTCCTATTTGTGTTGGGTTAGGAAGTGCCTATTTGTATTGGGTTTGGGTCTCAGGTGAGGCCCAGTGAGAAGCAAGGCATGCTGGTGCTAGTGCCAGGTCTTGGGCCTTTTATTGATATGTTTGGGGCATGCTGACATCAACTGCAGCTTGTTTGAGAGATTTTAGCAAAGTCAGAAGCCTGACAGCCATTCATATGGAAGAGCTGCTGCAAACAGCTTGGGTGAAGCTGAAAATTGGGTGGGGCGGAGTCTCATGGAATCACCAGGATGGAGTAAACAGTGTGCTCCAGGCTGATGGTGACTCAGATATGGCTGCCAGTCACCCCTGCGACTGGGGAGGTCCCAGCACAGGAATAGTGACTCCTGCGAGCATCTCCATCTGATAGAAATCTGCCCCCAAGTTCCTGCGCCGATTCCAGACAATCTAGTTCCTCCTCGTATGTGTCTGGTTCCCCCAATGTCTCCTAGTGCTAGAGCTCAGAGGAAGGAATTCGAGTAAGTTCATGCCTGGCCCTTTAAGAGGGACACCTGGGTCTCCAGCAGCCTCCGTGTCCTGCAGCCATAATCCCGGCTGGTTTTTACAGCCCGAAGTTACGGGGGCTTCTCTCCCCAGTTCAGGGGCCCTGAGTGGGGAGTCTGATGTGAGGCTTGACCTCCTGGGGACCTCAGCAGGCACACTCTCCCTCTGGGTTAAAAAAACCCGCCCACGTACGTGCCAGCCCAGCCCGTTCTGTGCTTTCACCCCTCCTACCAGTCTCTGCATACTTTCTTCTCTAGTTGTAGGACTTCCATTCAGCCATCTTTCAGGCGGTTGTTCTGAATGATGGTGGTTTTGTATTTTAGTTGTAATTTTGATGTGGTTGTGGGAGGCGGCGAGCACCGGCATTCACCTACGCCACCATTTTGGCTCCCCTGCCTGTTTGATTTTATTTTCATTGAATTTAAATGGCTGCGCGTGTGACTAGCAGCTTCCAGGCTGCTCCGTGTGGCCATGGGTGTTGGCTTTCCCCGACGTGAACACACTGGCCCTCTCCCCGAGTGGGTGTGGGACTTAGGAGACGTCCTTGCAGGCAGCTCAGCTCTGATGTTGGTAAGCCCGCCTGTCCGCACTAACAGCTCTTCGTGTCGTGTTTTTCTGTTCCAGGAACTGTGGTGGGTGTCGTTCTCTACACGGGCAGAGAGCTCCGGAGCGTCATGAATACCTCAAACCCCCGGAGTAAGGTGCGTGCAGGGTCATGAGAAGCGTCTCCATGTCAGACCTTCCGACCAGATGTACTTTGGTAATTGGTGTTAGGAGTGAGGAGTTAGAGTTAAAAACTGAAACTCATTTATACAAACCTACTGTCTTTTCACATGTAGGTATATATACATATATGTAGATATGCACACATATAAAACATAAGTAGCTCTTCATATATATACAAATACATAAAGTTAAAACACTTATTTTTAATTTTTTAAATAAAAATATTTTTTATGATCAGAACATTTTTAAATTTCCCTTATTTTTATTGTTATTAATCCTCACCCGAGGATATTTGTTTCCATTCATTTTTAGAGAGTGGAAGGGAGGGAGGGGGAGAGAGAGAAACATCAATGTGAGAGGGATACATTGATTGATTGCCTCCTACGTGCACCCTGACCTAGGGCTGGGGAACGAACCTGCAACCCAGGTACATGCCCGTGGCTGGGAATCAAATGGAGACGCTTCCATGTGTGAGCTGACGCTCTACCACTGAGCCACGCGGTCAGGGTGCAGTCCCATTTTTTCATACATCGCATTTTAACAGCCTTTAAGGCAAAGCAGGCTGTTGCTTGCTGTGTTATGCAGTGTCCTTGACCCGCATCTCATCTCATCTCATCCTTACGCCCGCCTCCGCGCAGGTGCTTCCCTGGCCTCGCCCCTGCCACGCTGTGCCCGCGTGCGCTGTGCCCGAGGGCAGGCCCGGTCACACTCTGCTGATGGCTGACAGGGCCAGATCTGCTGTCTGCTCTGTTAGTGCTCATTCACACCGTGACCCTCCCTCCCAGCCCTGCCTCTCCAAGTTTTAAGTTAGAATATTGCAGAATGATTTTCTTTGTCAATGCCAAGAACAACTGCTGTTGCCCAGACTCCAGTCATTTCCACCCCACCCTTACAACCATAAATGACACTTATTTGATGTTTTTGTCTCATCTCAGGCCATATTCCAGTGGAGTTATGGGTCTGTTGTGCTAGTTACATTGAAAAAAAAAAATACACTGAAGTAAATATGTAATTATTAAACAAACAATGTTAATTAATGCAGCACCTGAAAATCAGGTGCCACCAGAGGTGTGTGCCCCACATGTTCAGGCGCAGCTGCCTTAGCGTGTGGGCCGATGCAGGGAGTGGAGACTCATTTTACAGGTCGCCGTGTAGGATGGCGGACACCATGCAGTGCTCAGCCCCACCAAGGGCGGCAGTGACCTGCGTATGTGTTTCCAAGTCTAAATCTCAAGTCTGGAAAACCCTGGAGGCCGAATTCCTTGAGGTCCCTGAGACGCCTGTTACGGACTGCAGCCCAGGGCGCCCAGTGTCCTCCAGCAAAGCCGTGGGTGCCGATGGTCCCAGTGTCCCAGCTGGGCGCAGGTGCTCACGGCTGTGGGTTCACCAGCTATTCCTTTGTGCCCTGTCCCCCAGATCGGCCTGTTTGACCTGGAGGTGAACTGCCTCACGAAGATCCTCTTCGGTGCTCTGGTGGTGGTGTCGCTGGTCATGGTGGCCCTTCAGCACTTCGCTGGTCGCTGGTACCTGCAGATCATCCGCTTCCTCCTCTTGTTCTCCAACATCATCCCCATCAGGTACGCAGAGAATGAGCTTGCGTGTGGGTGTCATGGTAGTTTCTTCTCTTCGCCAGCTGGACCCTTTGCTGAGTGATGGCCGAGAACAGTCAGGATCCTCAGAGTGTGAGCCATGGTTTGTGGTGGTAGCATTGGAAGGGTGCATGCCTCCATGACCCATCCTTTCTTTTTCTTTTTAAAAAAGTATGTTTTTATTGATTTGAAAGAGAGAGAGAGGAAGGGACGGGGAGGGGGGGAGAGAAACATTGATAAGAGAGAAACATCAATCAGCTGCCTCTTGAACACCCCCTACTGGGGAACGAACCCACAACCTGGGCATGCGCTGTGACCCGGAATCGAACAGGTGACCTCTCAGTGGAGGGGACTATACTCAACCAACTGAGCGGCACCAGACAGGGCTGACCCATCCTTTCCTAAGGGACTTGCTGCCCAAAAGATCTTGCCTTGCCCAGGCTATCAGAGGGATGCCAGTTAGAGTTCATCTCGTCTGTGTTGAGAAGGATTCAGAGCCTGAGTCTGGGCTCAACAGGAGATAATATTGAGATTGATTAGCAGTGGAAGCTGGATGGTACATGCTAATTGTCTGCTTTCTTCATTTGGAATCTGAATAAATGGTTTAAAAATGATAGCAGTAATAAGTTATCATAGTAGAAAAAACCCCCAAAGATTCATAGTGTGACCAGTACAGGGGGATTGAACCCCTTGCCAAGGTGCTTGGGGCAATGGTTTCCAAGAATCAACAAGTCTACCTTGTTACCAGAGAAAAAAATGTTTGTGGTGTAAGGTTAAGTAAAATGGTGGTTAAAATTCTGTCTGCAACACGATTGGAAGTTACTGAATTGAATCTTCACATGGCCCAGGTAGCCAGCAAAAGAGGAAGCAGTTTGGTTAGTTTAAAAGGATTCTGAGTGAATTTGAAGATGTCTTTTAATATATTTTTTTAAATAAAATGTTTTAAAGTGAGTAGAATACACGCAATGGAGTATTATTTAGCCTTAAAAAGCAAGGGAATTCTGACCAGCTACAACATATTATAGATGAATCCCACAGTGAAATAAGCGAGTCCCAGAAGGAAAAATACTGTGTGGTTCCCCTTATGTGAGGTACCAAGAAAAAAAGTCCTGAAAATAGCAAGTAGAAGGGTGGTTTCCGGAGGGTGGGGGGGGTGGGGGGGTGGGGGGCGAGAGTGGGGGATTATTACTTAATGGGTGTGGAATTTCAGTTTGGGAAGATGAAAAAGTTGTGGGCATGGATGGCGTTGATGAATGCACAACAGTGTGAAAGTGCTCAGTGCCATAGAACTGTCCACTTACAATGGTTTAAACGTTGTGTATGTTTTACCACAATTTTAAAATATGACTAGAGCATCAAAAGTGTATTAGTTCAGAGGCCCAGTAATTTAAAAAAAAGAAAAAAAAGAAAAGCAGGACTAAAACAACTACCTTTCGGTAGTTGATGTGACCTTGGCACATGATAGAATAACTTCATGTAACTTGATGTGGTGTGGACTCCTGTTGTATCTGGGGATGGAGCCCCAGCAGTGGCTTCTGTAGGGAGGGACGCCAGATGCTGTGGCATGAATGGCGAGTCGTTGGAGACACAGCGGCCTTGTGTGTATCCTGCTAACGTTGGCTCCGTTTCCCGGCCAGTTTGCGTGTGAACCTGGACATGGGCAAGATCGTGTACAGCTGGGTGATTCGGAGGGATTCAAAAATCCCGGGGACGGTGGTCCGCTCCAGCACGATCCCCGAGCAGCTGGGGAGGATCTCCTACCTGCTCACGGACAAGACGGGTGAGCGTCCCGCCCTGGGTCCGGGCTCGAGAGGTGCTCAGATCCTCCGGCAGCTCTTCATTGCCTCCATCTTTTGGTGAAGACGGAGTAGCATCTGTGATGGCGATGATGATGATCATAGCAGCAGGGCTTTACGCTCTACATAACGCTTCTTATGGTTTGGGGGTTTGTATGTGCATATGCAAGTTAGTCCTCATCCTAACCTTGTATTTTTGCAGGTGAACAAATGAAACCCAGGTTAACTGACTTATCAGAGCACCTGGCGGCAGAAGTAGGCTCTGAACCCAGGCAGTCTGACTTGGAGTCCTGATCTCATAACCACGCCCCAAATTCGTAATATCCTAGTGGCGAAGAGTGAGGGCTGGGAGAGGGAGATGTTAGCTTGAGCTTCCTGTCTGCCTCTAAATGCCTCAGGATCACAGGGAATCTACAGCAGAGGCCCGAGAGGCTCACAACATCAGAGAAACTGGGTTTGGGAAGGAGAGGAGCCAGGGAAGTCCCGGGTGTGTCAGCATCAGGACCCCTGGGGGGTCGTTGTAGGGTCTGTCACTGGAGTGGCTGGACTCCACTCATCTTCCGTCCACGCCTCTGTCTGCTCACGGTTGAGGCTCCTTCAAAATAGAATCTAACTGGACCAGTGTAAGTCACGTGCCACCCTCCTGGCCAGTGAAATGAGACAGGCACCCTGATTGGCACTCCCTGAGGACCATCCCAGGAAACGAGGGTGGTGTTTCTCCCCGGAAACCTTGGATGCCGTTTTCCAAAGAAAGGGAGTTGGATTCCAGGCCAGCAGACAGCACAGCATAAGCAGGGGTGGTGCTGAAGCCAGAGTCTGATGTGTAGTAAACACTCAGAAGTATATAACAGCTGTCAGTACTGTTCGCACGGGGACAAGCTCCAGGAGGTCAGCACAGCTCTCGTCCGCCCTGTGTTTCAGGAACTCTCACCCAGAACGAGATGGTTTTCAAGCGGCTCCATCTGGGCACTGTGGCGTACGGCCTCGACTCGATGGACGAAGTGCAGAGCCACATCTTCAGCGTCTACACCCAGGTAATGCTTCCCTTTCTCACTCTCTTTAAAAAAAAAAAATGCATTCGTATTGCTTTCAGAGATGAAGGAAGTGGGAGAAAGAGAGAAACACCACTGATGAGAGAGTATCATTGGTCGCTGCCTCCTGCAGGCCCCCTGCTGGGGATTGAGCAGTAACTCAGGCATATGCCTTTGACTGGAATCAAACCCAGGACCCTTCAGTCCGCAGACTGACAAGTCTATCCACTGAGCCAAACCAGTGTTGCTTTACCTTCCGATACCCCAGTCAGTTCTTTACGTGGATGGACACCTATATTGAGGAATAACTCACAAAGCTGAGTGCCTCACCCTGTGCTGTCCGGCTCCCTCTCGGGGGCTGAGACTTCCGCCCGGAGGGTTCACTGGTGCCGGTGCCGGGCTGAGCACCCCTCGGCCCCTTCTCAGCCATGTGGGCTGCCAGTGACCCTGTGAGCCAGCTCACGGTGGTGGTGTGTCCCCCAGGCCAGTTTTGTGTACTTGAAGAGCCCAAGGAATTTACAGAAGCCGTGCCTTCTCAGGATATTGGTGCAGCTCAGCTCTTAAGGTCTGCTTTTGGTTTAATACAGATAGCACTCTTTGTAAAGTGTCAAAAGTCAGAAAACAACATTTCTGACCTTGCTCTTTAACTCCCAACTCTTCCTTAGAAGTTCAAAAATGTCCATATCCTGGCCTTGGGCTTAAAATAGCTAAGTGTTGAGGGGTGAGGTCATCTGGAGGTTGGTGTGAGTGCCGAACTATAGTACCCATCCACCCCGGACCAATGTGTATGATTCTCCTCCTCCCACGACATCTAAAAATCCTGCATTAAATGCATGAACACTTTTGTGATGAGAGGTGTGAAGGCTTTTTGTGTTTTCTTCTTCACAGCTTTGTTGAGGCACACCTTGCCTGCCATGAAATTCAGCTCTGTGTTAGTTTACAATTCAACGATTCCTTTTTAGTCTATTACTGAGTTATGGACCCACGAACACCCGAGAAAGAGCCCCTGGAGCCATGCCATCATTCACCCGGCCTTTTGGGTTTATGACCAGGACTTGACACCAGTGTTTTGTGAAGTCCGGTATTTGGAACGCCGGGGTCAGATCACGTGGGGCGATCAGAATCCCTAGACCCCGTCTCAGCAGCTGGCCCGGGTGGTTCCAAAGGGCAGCAGTTTGAGAACCTGTGCCACGCACCTGAGCTTTGCCCTGGTTTTCCAGAACATCGGTGTCTAAATCTGTGGACTCCAAAACAGAATTGGCAAGCTGTCCCCTTGGGGTGCAGGAAGGAAAGATGAGAGTGTCCACGTACATTTTATTTTCCTCTTCCAAATCAAAGCAAAGTTTAAATCCTACTGATCGTATGGAGATTGACCCAGGGATCCTCGCTCCATAGATCAGACCGGCATTTGTGAGGTGTGGTCCTGGAAGTGGAAGGAGTCAGAGTTCCATGGTTGTTTTTCCAGAACATTCAAATGTAGACTGCTGGTGCTAGGAGTGTCCAGGGTCCGGTTGGAGGGATGTTATTTAACTGAAGTAACTTCGTAAAGAAGGCAGGTGGCTTTAAAAGATTCCTGCAGCCCTAACCAATTTGGCTCAGTGGGTAGAGCATTGGCCTGCGGACTGAAGGGTCCCAGGTTCGATTCTAGTCAAGGGCATGTACCTTGGCAGCTGATCAATGTTTCTCTTTCATTGATGTTTTTAACTCTCTATACGTCTTCCTTCCTCTCTGTAAAAAAAAATCAATGAAATATATTTAAAAAAATAAAAGATTCTTGCAGGAAAAGTCCTGCAGATTATTATTGTTTTTTAAATATGTTTTTTATTTTATTCTAATATATTATTGATTTCAGAGCAGAAGGAAGAGGGAGAGAGAGATTGAAACAGCAATGATGAGAAAGAATCATTGATCGGCTGCCTCCTGCACGTCTCCTACTGGGGATTGAACCTGCAACCCAAGCATGTGCCCTTGGCCAGAATAGAACCTGAGACCCTTCAGTCCACATGCCAGTGCTCTGTGAACCAAACTGGCTAGGGCAGTCCAGATTATTAATACAGGTGCAGGTAAACCACAGAAAAATGGTCAACCCTTTATGTGATAAAACCACGACAGGCCAAGGCGAAGAGATGATTTTTTTCCTCTGGCTCATTTATATATTGATACCTTTACAACACAATTGAGATAAAATCCAGAAACCATACAATTTTAAGAAATATAGATGCTTGGCCCTCCACAGCTAAAGAATGCAAGAGGTTCTAGGCATATATATATATAGTTTTTAACTTTATACAAAAGTCTAAAGTTCAACTCTAGTTAAAAAGAATTATGAACCCGTCCAGTGTGGCTCAGAGGTTGAGCATCGACTTATGAACCAGAAGGTCACGGTTGGAATCCCAGTCAGGGCACCTGCCTAGGTTGTGGGTTGGATCCCTAGTAGGCAGCATGTAGGATGGATCTTATCCATGATTCTCTCATCATCAATGCTTCTATCTCTTTCTCCCTCTCCCTCTCACTGGTTATGTGCCTGCAGCCAAGGTACATGTCCTTGCTTGGAATCATACCTGGGACCCTTCAGTCCGCAGGCCGATGCTCTATCCACTGAGCCAAACCGGGCTTCCTAGTGTTGATGGCCTACCTGGTTTTCAGCCTCAGAGTGACATGTGCTGGATAAGGCTGTGTTGTGAGGGCGTCCTGTGTATCGTCTAGGATTTTAGTGGCGTCTTTGCCCTCTGCCATCAGGTTGTCTGTAGCACACGTTCCCTCCTCTGCCCCCAGTGGTGACAACCCCGAATCTCTCTTGATGCTGCCAGATGGTAGCCCAGATCACCCCAGTTGAGAACCTCTGTGCTCTGTGGGGTTTGATGACAAGGAATGGAAATGTGCTGCCTCTGTCACGCTCTCAGAGGTCTGCAGTGGAGTCGTGAGCATTGTATTTGTCACTCACTCTCAGCCTGTAGCTCCGTGGGTTCATTCCGAAGTAGCAGCCCCGAGCCCGCCTCTGTGGGGGTGCCCCTTTGAGGTTGACACGTTACCAGGTTTGGCTTTACTTAGGGAGCCACGTGGGAGAATCCAAACAGGAATTCCTTCTCCTCGACAGTGTGTTTTCACCAGTTGCAATCCATCCATCCTGTCAGTTAATATTATAGACGTCCGTTACGTGGTGGTGAAATGTTAATCGCATTTGGAAAGAACGTTTCTGTTCACGGTGGCTCAGTATTTATTTGATTTTTGAACTACTGCTTCCTGTTACGCAGACTGGAGTTCTCACTGGGACATGGCCCTGCCTTGGGTCCGTAATGAGAAGCAGGGGCCCGTGTCAGTCTGTCTCATTGATCCTCCATGGCTCAGTGATTGCCAGAGAGTGACTCGGAAGCATTGGCTGGTGCGGGCACCCCACCCGAGGGCCCAGGCCCGGGGCCTTTGCACAAGGAGGTCTGGATTCCTCTCCCAATCCCTGCCCTCATGGGGGCAGCATTGGCTCTGCTCCCCCCTTTACCCCCTCCACCCCCCATAAGGAGACCGGGGCAGCAAGGCTGGTAACCTGCCTCCGTCCACATCTGTTTTGATTTTCCCCTGGTATTTTTTAAGTCAGGAGAAATGGGTGTAGGTTAAAGGGCCCGTGGGCAGGAGGCTGGAGGTAAACACTGTACAATGTGAAACTCTTCCATATGGGGAATGCGAGGGTGTTTGAAGACGGGGCCCATACTCACACTGGCAGGGCCCCCGGTCATGACCAGGGTCTGAGGCTACACGTGGATTCCCGTTTGGTGTGCGAGTGAGTCTTTTACTGGAAAATCAGGAGAATTTCAGGACCGATGGTTATGACCCCTCCTCCCTGAAGCACCTTAGTGTTAGGAAAGGGGATCCGTGCTAATGCCAGAGAGAGGTAAATGGGCGTGGAGGCCCAAACTCATTTAACCAGCCCCCTGAGGGTGGGGGCCAGGCACCCTCATCTTCTTTTTATTATTTTATTTATTTTTTAAAATTTCTTTATAGTTTATGGTATCACATACACCCTTATATTCTCATTTGTTGTCAGATGGTCTCCTGACCTGAAAGGGGGTTCCTGGCAGAGACCAGGGCTGCCTGGTTGTCCTCGATTGGGTTGTCAGTGGGAGATTTGCCTTAGGTAGTGGAATTGAATTCAGGCTGCTCATAAAATTCAGAGGTTTGTGGCGGGCCCCTCACTCGGCCTTTCCTTCCAACCCACTGCTGGGGAAACTCGCCAGCCGAAGCCATTGCTCTGGCAGAGGTCTTGCTGTTGTCCCTCGTGGGAAACCATAATCTGGTCCCTGTGCTGAGGAACGTGGGCAACGGTGAGGACATGCGTCCGTGCCTGGAACAGACACCACAGAACTTAGGGAACCGCGTCCCCGACGGCGTCCGTCCTGCGGAGAGCCTGTCTGTAAGGCCGCGGGCCTCGGTGTGCCGTTGGAGTTAAAGTCTTTCTCGTCCAAAGCGCTTGGCAAACCGTGATTCATTTGAACTGTAGCTCTGATTCATTACTCTAATTATCGTTACCACGCAGTGCCCTTTGGCCTGGAAGTGAAACTCGTGTCCTCTTGACACCAGAGGTTAACGGAGCAGGAAGCCGGGGCGGTGTGTGCGCCCGCATGACAAGAATAATTTAGTAATTGTCTAATTACCCGGGGAGTCCAGAGCCTCTGCTAAAAATAGTATTAAAAAATTAAACGAAAGTCGTTTTCTTGTTTCTTGTAGCCCATCTGTTCCCTATTTTGGGCATGTGTTCACCGGCACAAAGCACATTTCACTCTCCAAGGCCAGCTTGCTGCTCCTCTCTCTGCTGGGCAAAACATGTTTCTAATGGCATGTGGCATCCAGCATAGCTGCCAGCATCTCAGGCTCCCGGACGCAGCTGGGAAGGCAGGGAGCCTACGATAGTCCTTTGTCCAGAACTGTGGTTTAAAATCTGGGGCTGATGGGGGTCCATTTGACATATACTTTTTCTTGGAGATGGAAAAAAAATTCATGTAAAGCCAGGACCCCACCATCACCGTAGGAACGGTAAATCGTTCATTTGCTCAGCAAGTAGCTCCTGCTTTAGGTACGAGGGATGCAGCAGGCAGCTGTCCTCAGGGTCGGTCAGGAGAATCATCAGGTCAACAAGCCAGCTGTAGACAGTGAGGACGACAACCCCCCGGGAAATATGACTTCCAGTGGGATGGCAGGCGGGGTGATATGATTTAGGTCCGTGGACCAGTAGTGGTCTGTGAGGTCCGAAAGGTTGGTGATCGCTGAGTTAGGGGCTCAGAGAAGCCCTCTTTAAGGAGGTAACGTTTGAACTTAGACCTCCGTGATGAGATAGAGTAAGCTGGCCCTGCAGAGATCCAGGAACTGGTATTCTAGGCAGCGGGTACGGCAAGTGCAAAGGCCCTGTGGCAGGAAGCAGCGGGGCAGTGTTCAAAGACATGGAGATGCCAGCGTGGCTGGAGCAGAGGGAATAAGGAGGATGCAGAGAGGGGCAGGGGCTAGTCAGATGGACTCCGTGGGCCAGGGGAGGGCATCTGAGACATATGCGGTTAACAAGTGCTCATTCCTTGGTGGTCTTAATTTTTTAAATTGTGTTTCAAGGCGAACGAAACCCTTTTCCAAAGGAAGGTCTTCACGGCACCCAATGTGTAACACAGAGGGGAATGGGCTGCGTGCCCCCTGCTTTGGGGGTGCTGAGTGGGGGATTCCTGCCACTCGGGTGTGGACCCCACTCCTCTCACTGGCAGGAAACGGAGGCCCCGGGGGCAGATGTGGCTGGCTTAAGGTCACACAGCTTTCCACACCCATCCAACAATAGAGCTCAGGTTTGTTAGCCATTCATACTGTTTTACCATGCGGCTTGAAGCCACTTTCCCCAAGACTTATCCCGTTCGGGAGGCTCAGCGTGTGTCGAAAGGTCTGAACAAGGGGGTGGAGTAGCTGCTTCCACGAGTTAAGAATCTGAAGTCAACGTAGAGAGCAAACATGGAGCACATATAGCATTAGTCTCTTAAAAAACGTATTCTATTTTGAAATCGCTCTTGGAAACCCGCCTTCAGCGCAGTGCTGGGTGCCGTGTGTGCAGGACGTGCAGCTAGTGTCATTCCCGTCACCGTCCCAGGCCCTGCACCGAGTCAAGTGTCACTGGCGGTCGTTATCCTGTATGTAGAGCGCCAATCGCAGTTCCTGCCTTTTATGCGAAACCAAAGAGTGAACATTTAAAACGGGTTCTGAACCTGGGACGTTTGGCAGCATCCGTTGAGACCACTAGGGGGGAGAGGTGCTTCTGGGACCTAGCGGGTGAGGCTGGAGATGCAGCTGGACATCCTACAAGGCTAAGGTGACCAGACGTCCCGCTTTTGGCAGGACAGTCCCAATTTTTAACAATTTGTCCCCTGTCCTGCGGCGTTTTAAAAAAGTTTCGATTTTTGGAAAGATCCTGTGCCTTGGAAATTGGGGCTTTTTTTTTTTTTTTAAATATATTTTATTGATTTTTTTTTTTTACAGCGAGGAAGGGAGAGGGATAGAGAGCTAGAAACGTCGATGAGAGAGAAACATCGACCAGCTGCCTCTTGCACACCCCTTACCAGGGATGTGCCCGCAACCAAGGTACATGCCCTTGACTGGAATTGAACCTGGGACCCTTCAGTCCGCAGACCAACGCTCTATCCACTGAGCCAAACCGGCTTCGGCGGAAATTGGGGCTTTTTAAAAATGCCGCAGGACGTGGGACAAATGGTTAAAAATCGGGGCTGTCCCGCCAAAAGCAGGACGTCTGGTCACCTTATATTAAACAAGGCACAGGATTGTCCCGACCGCAGACAAGGTTTGCCTGAGTGCCAGCGCTGCCGAGGCGGGGAAGCCCGCTCTGAACACAGGGGCCGCTGGCGGCGTGGGGGGACCTCACTCCGTAGGCGACTCCCCGATACCCCCAGAGGAAGGCGGTTCCCCCGTCAGCAGGCAGCATCACCCACCCCCGCTAAGCTGTAACCCTGCCTGTTGGTTTTGTGTGGTTTCTGTTGTGCCGAGCACAGGCGATGGGATCCCTGAAGACCACCTGCCATTCATTGCAGTATCCCATCGCTAGCCTGGGGTCACCGCTGGCCCGCAGCGAGGAGCGCCGACTCCGCTGCCTGTCCTCCCGCCCGCGGGAGACTCCGTGCCGGTGGTCACCCCCCTGTCGTTCCTCCTCACAGCAGTCCCAGGACCCGCCCGCTCAGAAGGGCCCCACGATCGCCACCAAAGTCCGTCGCACCATGAGCAGCCGCGTGCACGAGGCGGTGAAGGCCATCGCGCTCTGCCACAACGTGACTCCCGTGTACGAGTCCAATGGCGTGACCGACCAGGCCGAGGCCGAGAAGCAGTATGAGGACTCGTGCCGTGTGTACCAGGCGTCCAGCCCGGACGAGGTAAGCCCCGGGCAGGCGTGGCCCCCCGGATCCGCCTGTGAGGACCGACAGGCGCCAGGGAGGGGCAGGGCAGCGAGGCCGGGACCTCTCGGAGGCGAGCAGGGCCTGATCTGTCCCAGAGCGGTCCTGGATTTGAGCTCTGTCCTGAGTCAGGAAGGAGCAGGGGGGTCTTATTTGTAATTCTAACCCCAAAGGGAGACATGGTCCCATGGAAACCGCATCCCCTTGAAAGCAAGATCCACCAGAAAACAGCTTTATTAAGGTAAAGTTCACTTACCACACAGCCACCCATTTCACTAACATGCAGAGGTCAGTGGTTTCTCTAGTCTATTCACAGAGTTATACAACCATGACCATAATACATTTTGGAACATTTTCATCACCCCAAAGGAAGTACTCCATGCCCATTGTCTCTGTAGACTCCCCGGCCCCCAGCCCTGGCAGCCACTACTTCCTGTCTGTGCAGAATTGCCTTTTCTGGGCTTCTCCCCCTTAGCATATGTTCTCAAGGTTGATTCGTGTTGCGGCCTGTCAGAACTTCATGACTTTTATGGATGAATAATAACCCAATGTATGGATAACACTACATTTTGTTTATCCATTCATTGGTTGATGGACATTTATATAGTATTTTGTTTGTTTGTTTACTATTATGGATAATGCTGCTATGAACATTTGCGTGCAAGTTGTTTGTCTTTTTTAAAAAGATTTTTAAATTGATTTTTAGAGGGAGAGGCCGGGAGAGGGAGAGAGAAACATTGATGTGAGAGCATAACATCGATTGGCATGCTTCCTACCCTTTCCTTACTAGGGATTGAGCCTGCAACCTGAGCATTCCCAACTGGGAATTGAACTGGCCATCCCTAGTTACAGGGGATGACACCCCATGGGCCAGGGTTGTGTATAAGTGTGTGAGTGGACATACAGTATGTTTCTCTTGGTGTATGTCTGGGAATGGAATTGCTGGGGCACGTGGTAGCTCTCTGTTTAGCCTTCTGAGGACCTGCCGGACTGCCTTCTAAAGTGGCTGGACCCTTTTCCATTCCCATCAGCAGGGTGTGAGGGTTCCCATTTCCCCACAACTTAGCCGTCACTTGTCCTTGTTGGTCCTTTTGAGTCTGGCCACCCTAGTGAGTGTGAAATAAGATCTCATTGTGGTTTTGATTTGTGTATCCCTGGTGGCTAATAATATTGGGCATCTTTCCATGTGCTTCCTGGTTATTTGTGCATCTTCTTTGGAGAAATGTCTGTCCATTTCCTTTGCCCACTATTAATTGTGCTACGTGTCTTTTTACCGTTGAGTTGTAAGAATTCTTTATACATCTCATGTAAGTCTTCTATCAGATTTGTAAATATTTTCTCCCATTCTGAAGGCTAAATATATATATATATTTATTATATATATATTATATATATATATAATAGTGATTTCAGAGAGGAAGAGAGAGGGATAGAGAGATAGATGAGAGAGAATCATTGATTGGCTGCCTCCTGCACACCCCCTACTGGGGGTTGAGCTTGCAACCCGGCCATGTTCCCTTAACCAGAATTGAGTATTTGACCCCTCAGTCCACAGGCCAACACTCTATCCACTAAGCCAAACCAGCTAGAGCTGAAGGCTTTTTCTTGATAGTATCCTTTGGAACACAAAAGTTTCTAATTTAAAAAAATATTTTATTTGTTTTCAGAGAGGAGGAGGAAGAGAGAGATAGAAGCATCAATAGTGAGAGAGAATCATTGATCAGTTGCCTCCTGCATGCCCCTTTCTGGGGTTTGAGCACACCTCCTGGGCACATGCCCTGACCAGAATTGGACTGTGACCTCCTTCCTGGGTCATAGGGCCATGCTTAACCACTGAACCACACCAGCCAGAAGTTTCTAATTTGATGAAATCAATAAGCCACACAGTTTAAAGTGGCTGTTCCTATCTAAGCATATTCTTTTGCTGAACCCACAAGGGATTCATTTGATTCCATGTTCAAGAGCGTTACCCCTTCAATGTTTTCTATAACAGGACCCAATGGCTTTCCCTTTTAGGGTGTCATATGGTAGGACCTCCTGTGTGTGTTTAGGCAGAGGACTTGCCCAGCATAAAGCAGTAGCATCGTGTCCTTTGTCCCCCTCCCCTGAGTGTAGTTCACACACAGGTCTGTGTTTTCCCAATATGTAGGCATTTGGTCTTTTCTCTTTCCAGTTTTTTTTTAACCTTTTTTTTTTTTTTTAAAGGAAGCTTTCGTTCTGATTATTAAAACAATTTTTTGTTAGTGTAGAAGGTTTGGAAATTTCAGGCGACTATCAAGAAGAAAGTGGGTCTATTGTAATCTCAGCTGTCTAGGAGAACAAGAGGCAACTTGCCTAGAGCATTTGGTTGGCATCGGTCCGTGTGAAGTATGTTCCATGTATCATCTCATTTTTTTTGTTGTTTTTTCGTTAATTCTCACCTGAGGATATTTTTTCCATTGCTTTTCAGAGAGAGTGAAAGGGAGAGAAGAGGGGGGCTGGGGAGGAGAGAGAGATCAATTGGTTGCCTCCGAAGGCTCCCTGACCAGGGGTGGGGAGCAAACCCACAACCAGGGTATGTGTTCTTGACCAGGAATTGAACCCACAATCTTGGGTCTGAGGGTGGATGCTTGAACCACTTACCCACACCAGCCAGGGCTCAACCATTTTTTTTAGAAGCCACTAAGAGCAATGTGATAGATAGCCTTCTTGTATTTTATATATTTTTAAAAAGATATATTTATCTTTATTGTTGAAAGTATTATGGATGTCTCTTTTTTTTTTTTTTTTTTCACATTGACTCAATCCACCCAGCACCCACCCCTTCCAAGCTATCACTGCACTATGGTCCATGGGCCATGCATATATGTATATAAGTTCCCCAGTTAATCACCTGCCCCCTTCCTCTCCCCATCCCCCCACTTTCCCTCTGAAATTCGTCAGATCTATGTCTCTGGATCTATTTTGTTCATCAGTTTATTTTGTTCATTAGATTTCACGTATGAGAGAGATCATGTGTACTTATTTTTCTCTGACCTTCCGGTGGCTTATATACTATATATTTTTCTTAAAACAGTGGGGATTTTAATAAGCTATGGTTTTGTATCCTCCTTTCTCACTTAATATTTTTTCATGCCTGTTTTTAGTTCTCTTGAATAAAAAACACACACTCACAGTTTTTCAGCATTATTGCCCATGTTCTCAGATGGCTGGAATTCAGGTTGTTTCTAATTTTTGGCAATCATGTATAAACATTGCAGTGAGTATTGTTACACCCAGAGTGTCTAGAAATGGTGAGGCTGGATTCATATTTCAGTGCCTGCGATGGGCTAGGACAGTGGTTGGCAAACTCATTAGTCAACAGAGCCAAATATTAACAGTACAACGATTGACATTTCTTTTGAGATCTGAAAAATGACTTCTGCGCATGGGCCACGAAGTTTCAATCGCACTGTACGTGTGCCCCCGCATGTGGTATTTTGTAGGAGAGCCACACTCAAGGGGCCAAAGAGCCACATGTGGCTCGAGAGCCGCAGTTTGCTGACCACAGGGCTAGGTGACGTCAGCGTTGGACAGCACTGCAGCCCAGGCCCAGGGAGGCCGCTGAGCATCTGCGTCTGGAGGCTCAGACCAGTCGTGTCTCCCGTCCTGCCTCCGTGTGTCTGTGTCCTGGGGCCCGCGAGGGGTGGGGAGCCCTCGGCAGGCAGGCAGTAGGTCCTGGGGGGCAGATTGGATGTGTATTTTTCAGGCCCGTGATGTAAGTGACCAGGAAAGGACATTTAAACCGTTTTTGCTCTTCCACCAAGGCTCTCAGGGCTCCCAGTGGTTATTTTGTTTGTGGTAAGGAGCGGCTTCTCCGGCAGAGGAAGTGTTTAAGGTGTGCGCTGGCCTCAGCATGGCAGGGAGCCCTGTGGATGGCGGCTGGGGGCGCGCAGCCAGAGCCCTGCCCGAATCTCAGGGAGAGAGGGCCCCTCCATGGGCCTTTCCCGCCCATTCCCTCTCTCTGTCTCCGGGCGATGGAGTGTGTCCCCGGGGGCTCCTCCTTCCAGCCTGAGGGGTGTCTGCAGGACAGCCCTGAGGCCGACAGGTGAGGGCCGAACCAGGCTTGCTGAGGTGGAAAATGTCACCCGTGGCCGACTGCTGGGACGGGGTTGCTAGCTTAACGAGGGAAGAGGAGGGAGGAGGGGGGTGGCTGATGCTACTGTCCTTCTTGATCTTGGGCCCTCGCAAACAAAACCGCAGGCGCCCTCGCTGCGTCGCCAGGTTTACTGGGTTTGATCCCGTTCCCCGTTTTGTGCGTGAGGATGGTGGGCGTGAGGAGGGACCAGCTTCTTGGCGGCTGGGACTGGGAACAGCAGCACATGGTGCTGGTGGAACTGGAACACGTTCCAGATGATGGGGGTCTGATCAGGCCGGCTCTGCCTCCGAGCTCGAACACTCCGCCTGGCTAGAGCTGGGTGTGTGGGGGGTCTCTATGGGGACCTTTTATGCCTGCCCCACCCGCTCTGCTCCCACTGAACTCCGAGGCATTTGTTTTAGGGCTGTCCTAGGGTTTCCCCACGAGGGTAAATCTCTCATGGGCTGCCCTGTGCTTCTTAGCTCCTTTTTCTCTTCTTTGTTTCTTTTTCCTTCCTTCCTTCCTTCCTTCCTTCCTTCCTTCCTTCCTTCCTTCCTTCCTTCCTTCCTTCCTTCCTTTCTCTTTTTTTTTTCTTTTTTTTTTTTTTTTAACACATTTCTTTATTGATTTTGGAGAGGAAGGGAGGACAGAAAGATAGAAACATTAATGATGAGAGAGAATCGTCGATCGGCTGCCTCCTACAAGTCCCTCAGTGGGGATCGAGCCCGCAACCTGAGCATGTGCCCTTGGCCAGAATCGAACCTGGGACCCTTCAGTCCGCAGGCTGATGCTCTATCCACTGAACCAAGCCGGCTAGGGCTTAGCTCCTTTTTCTTGAAGTGAACAATTCTTCATCTCTTCTGTCTACTAATTGCACTGGGATTCAGATTCATCTTGCTTTTCTAAGATTCTGAATAATGGTTAAAAAGCAGGTATTTTCTTTGAGCCTTTGGTATATTCACAGAGGTCTTATTGGTAACTGCCTCACCCCCGCCCCCCCCACCCCCCCCCCCCACACACACACACACTGTTATTATTTTGCATTGCACCACTGTCTTGTATTTCTGGTGGAATATGTGAAAATATAGATAAGAAAAAGTAAACCATCATCCTACTGACAAAAGCTTCAACCACTGTGAGTAGTTTACTGACCAGCCTCCTAGACGATTTCAGAGGCCGTGTGCGCAAATTCCAGATCTGTGTGCACAGACGCCCCGGGCGGCGGGGAGCAGGCAGAACCTCCGCTCAGCAGAATCCGCGGAAGGCTGTGCCGTCTGCAAGTCCCCGTGGGACTCCACGCGGACGTGGCTGCATCTAGAACCCTCCCTTTGAAATTCCGTATCCACAAAGCATCGCTGGTGAAGGCAGGGTCAGCTCAGAAATACACGCAGGAGCAGCATTCTGTCTGCCTCGGAGCTGCCGGAGGAGTTCCTGCCCGTTGGGGTGGTGGTCATTTCCTGCTGCAGAAGCGATTTCCTAAATTTGTTTCCTGTGCACTTCCGGCTCGGGAAGCTGGAAGGGTCTTTATCAGCTATTGATTGCTGCCAGAGGAGAGAAGGGTATCTAACCTGGCGGAGAGGAGTCAATGGAGAGACCCGGCGGACGCAGCTTTTCACGCACCTGTTTCTTGGTGTGAGCGCTCAGGGGGTGCTCTCCTACGAGCAGGTAGACGCAGCCCCCTGACTCACGTATTTGTCTTTCCCACGAACCCTGTCACAGTCACACAAACTCTTTAATTCGTATTCCCACAAATCCTGGCATTGTAACAAAAAATTACATAACTTTTAAAATCACCATTACTGAGGTTCTCCCTAGAAAAAAGCAGACGTTGTAGAGTTAAAACGAAGTTGATAAACGTAAATGTAATGCTTATCACCTGGCAATATCTGCTGTTTATGTTCTGATATAGATTTTCCCAGAGTCTCCCTAAATTTGTGCATATCTACCCATCTACCTGCCTATCTACCTATCTACCTATGTATATATTATGTAAAGATAGGTAATATGCTAATTAGGCAGTCTTGACCACCTAGTCTAGATGTGTGTGGTGGGGGCATTGGGTGGAAGCAGGAGGCGCCCAGAGGAGGTGGTCCCAGGGGGGTGGGGGTGAGAGCCCGTAGAGCCCCCCTCACCAGTCCTCCGCTACCCACCGCTCACACTCAGAGCGCCCCATCGCCCACCTGCCCTGGGAAGGAGCACAGCGCAGCAGGCGGGAGGCTTCCATGTTCTCCTCCTGTGCCATGACGGGGCGGAGCTCTGAGATGGGTGGAAGCAGGGAGGTGCCCAGAGAAGGTGGGACCAGCCTGAGGCAACTCAAGGGACTGAAGGTGGGGCTTGAAGCAGCCAGAGAAGGCTGGAGGGGTGGGGCCTGGGCCAGGCACGCTGGAGCTCTGAGTGGAAAGGTTTGGGTGTCAAGGCAAGATGGGGGGTGGGTGGCGGGCGGGCTGCACGATTTTGTGCGCTGAACTCCTAGAAAAAAAAAAAATATATATATATGTGTGTGTGTGTGTGTGTGTGTGTGTGTGTGTGGCCCAAAATGGACTGAAGTGAACAGTCATTTCTAAATTTCCATGTCGATGGTGCCTTTCTTCCTTCTTGAATATTAATTTTAACAGTGCTCTGTGATAGGAGCCTGGAATTTAAGTGTGGGATCAAGGGAATTGGGATGGGAGCTGAGGTGGCTGCTGCCTCAGTTTACCCCTGACCACTGCATCGCCTGCCCAACCCCTGCCGCATTTGAACCCGAAACCACCCTGTGGAGCTTCGTGGGATCTATTTTCTGATTCTGTAAAGAGCACCTTAGCCTGTGGAGAGATTTACAACTTGAAAGGCTGGCGAGGGTGGACTGGCTACTCTTTGGGAGTGTGAGTGTTTCTCTCGTGTGTGTATGTTTTAAATAATTTTATTGATTTCAGAGAGGGAGAGGAAGAGAGAGAGAGAGAGAAACATAAATGATGAGAATCATTAATCAGCTGCCTCCTGCATGCCCCCCCAGTGGGTATTGAGCCCGCAGCCTGGACATGTGCCCTTGATCAGAATTGAACCCGGGACCCTTGAGTCCACAGGCCGGCACTCTATCCACCGAGCCAAACCAGCCAGGGCAAATGTTTATCGTGCTGAGTGCCACCAAAGAACCATTTTGATTAGATGTCAGAGCCATGCTTGCTCGTAAGATAGTATGCATCTGCTCTTGGCAGGAATTCAAAGCTCTTTCTTTTGGCCCGGCCCTGCGTACTTCCCGGCACACGTTCCCGGCCACACAGGGAAGATCATGGAAGTTGTCACGGGTGTTCTGTCGCTCACCCACCTATGTTGAAAAGGCCATCATGGGCAGCCTGGCATGCATTCCTCAGTTGGGCATTTTAGAGAGGGGTTTCCTGATGAATCTGCAACTCACAGGGACTTGTGAGCTGTGTGCTCCCCTCTCTGCCCCCTGGGTTTCTAGCATTCGATCAAGTTTGGATCTGGTCCGTCCGTCCATCCATCCATCCATCCATCCATCCACCCACCTTAACAGTTTCTTTTTCTCTTGCTGTTCTGACCTCCTGGTATTCTGACCCAAGACCCCCTGAGCCCCATCTCTGGCTGTTAAGGACAGTGAGACACAAGACCCTGAAAATTTTATACTTTGACGATGCATTTGAAAGGAGGCTTGGACCCGCCAGAATGGGAAGTGGCCTGCGTGTATGTCACCTTGTTTTGTGGAGGAATGTGGCGGTCCCACCTCGCCCCTGAAGTGTTTGTCCCTGCCACGGTGGAGAGGGTCAGTGAGCACCCGATTCCAGGCTAAGATTCTGCGCCTGTCTCTTCTCCGTGGGACCTGGGCAGGGGAGGGGGGAGGGGTCTGTGTTCTGTTAGGAAATAGCTTTAAATTAAGGCTGACAAAGTCGGAGTGAGAGAGTGGAAGGTAAAAATGAACGACCCCCTGCAGGGCTCATATCCTGTTGGAATCAGCCCCCGAGGAGCCAAGGAGGTTTTGATTAGGACTAGGTACCCAAGGGGCGGGGGCAGGGGGGAGGGAGGACCTGCATTGTCATGTATATGCCCCTTAGCTTTAGTGAGATTCGCTGTAGAAGAAAGCTCCGTTAAACGATGTTTCCCTCCAGTTTCAATTCACTCTTCACCGGGAACATTTGCCAGGGTAGATCATTTCAAATTTAGTCCGCTTCTCCTCTAACCAGGCCTGTGGGGTCCCCGGCGTGGGGGCCGGGCTGGGCCAGAAGTCCTTTGTGGTCCCGGAGTTAGAGATTCTTTCTCCGTTGAATTAGGAACCGGCTTTGGGAATTAGCGGTCTCCTTGAAGCCCAAAGTCACAGACTTTCCCCATCTTTTCCGAACAACAAAGTTGGGTTTGAACCAGCTGTTTGAAAACAAGAGTGAAAAAATTCTTTTAGTAACAATCATGTTTGAAATGCCGGTGCCCACCTGGCCGGGCCCCTGTCCCTTCCTCGTCTGTGTGACTCGTCTTGTCAACCTCAGCAGGACTGACATCTGGGGGATTATGTTCTGTTGTGTTTGCCAGCATCCCTGCCTCCACCAAGTGGATGCCAGTAGCGCATTCCCATCCCTCAGCTGTGACATCCAAACATGTCCCCACACATTGAAGTGCCTTTGGGGGCCAGAATTGCCCACGTGAGAACTATAAATACCCGCCTGGGTGAGTATCCGCGAGACCTAAACAGGAGCCTGATGGTCAAGCCACCCCGTCCGTCCAGATAATTGGCTTGGTACAGGTTCTCCCAGAAGCATCTGTAGTCACTTCTCACCCTGTGCCTGTTCTGCCAGGGCCCTGGCATCCGGCCTGCCATGGGGCCAGGAAGAGAGGGCGAGGCCTGCAGGGAGGGGCAGCTGTGAGTGCAGAGCCCCAGGGGCCAGGGAGCGGATGCTGCCACTGTTGGCACAGTCTTCCCAGGGACACAGTGCTGCCTGCATTTCACCTGTCTGCTCCCTCCCACCTTTGTGTTCCTGTGGTTGACCTGTGAACCGGGACCCTCGGCCATATCTGACCTTAGACCCCGTGTTACCTGCAGGTGGCCCTGGTACAGTGGACCGAAAGTGTGGGCTTAACCCTGGTGGGCCGGGACCAGTCTTCCATGCAGCTGAGGACCCCTGGCGACCAGATCCTGAACTTCACCATCTTGCAGATCTTCCCCTTCACCTACGAGAGCAAGCGCATGGGCATCATCGTGAGGGTGAGTGCCTTTCACTTATGACGGGGAGCGGTTCGGAACCCCCAGGTACACCGTGCGTGCCCCGGGGCTTGACTTTCTTTCTGCCCCTTTTTATCATGTCCTCTGCTGCCCAAGCTAACGAGGGAACGCGATTCCCTAAGCAGAAAGAACATTAGTTCATTCACCAGACAGAACCTCCGAGAGCTGGCCAGCTCCTTGTTAACCCCGTTCTCTAGTGAAAGGTCTAAGGGATATAGCCTGGGCACTTCTTGGCAAGAATACACTCATTGCACTTTCTTTTGTTGAATTAAATGTATATCTTTTGTCGAGGTGAATTCATATAACATGAATGGGCCATTTTAAAGGTATAATTCAGTGGCATTTAGAATATTCACAGTGCTGTGCATCCTTTTGTCAGGTTTCAGTACATTTTTATCACCCCAAAGGGAACTTGTACCCGCTAAGCAGCCATTGCCTGTCTCTCCTTTTCCCTAGTCCCAGCAATCACTAAAGTGCTTTCTGTCTCGATGGACTTACCTGTTCTGGACATCCTATATAATAAAAGGCTAATATGCAAATTGACTGAACAGCTGAACGACTGGTCGTTATGATGTACACTGACCACCAGGGGGCGGACACTCAATGCAGGAGCTGCCTTCTGGTGGTCAGTGCACTCCCACAGGAGGGGTGCTGCTCAGCCAGAAGCCAGGCTCATGGCTGGTGAGTGCGGCAGTGGTGGTGGGCCCTCTCTGGCTTCTGCAGCAGCGCTAAGCCACCAGTTGGTCATCCCAGCAGAGGGGGTCCCAGGCTGCGAGAGGGTGCAGGCCAGGCTGAGGGACTCCCCAGACCCCATAGTGCACAAATGTTGTGCATCAGGCCTCTAGTTTCATGTAAGTGGAATCACATGACATATGGCCTTTGTGTCTGGTTCCATTCACTTAGCATAATATTTTTGAGGTTCATCCATGTCGTAACAGTTATCAGTACTCCATTCTTTTTTTATGGCTGAATAATATTCCATGTTGCTATCCATTCATCCGTGGATGGACAGTTGGGTTGTTTGCACCTTTGGCTATTGTGAATAATTCTGCCAGGACATGCATGTACAAGAATTATAATACCTGTTTTCAGTTCTTCAGGGTGGAATTGCTGGGCCATGCTTGGCCAGTCACTCAATTGCTGGGTAATTATATTTTTAAACTTATGAGGAATATCTAAACTCTTTCTGCAATGCTGCAGTATTTTACACAGCAGTATACGAAGGTTCCAGTTTTTCCACATCCTCACCAGCACTGTTATTTTCCATTTTAAAAATTACAGCCCTTCTAGTGGTTGTGAAGTGGCATTTCATTGTAGTTTTGATTTGTATTCCCCAGTGACTGGTGATGGTCCCTCGGGCCCCATTTCTAGTCTCTGTAACTATCTTCATATGCGTACTGGCCACTTGTATATCTTCCATGGAGGAATGTCTATTCAAGGCCTTTGACCACTTTTTAATTGGGTTGTTTTTTGTTGTTGTTCAGTTGTATATAGCTGGTTACTAAAGCTTTATCCAGGACATGGTATGCAAATGGTTTTTCTCATTCTATAGGTTGTCTTTTTACTTTATTGATAAAATTCCTTTGACACACAGAAGTTACTAATTTCGATGAAGTCTCACTAGTCCGTTTTTCCTTTTGTTGATCTTGATTAGGTATCCTATCTAAGAGTTCATTGGGAAATCCAAGAACATGAATTTACTCCTTTTAAGAGTTTTGTGGGCTTTGCTTTTTAGGCCATTGATCCCTTTGGGGGTTAGTTTTGTATATGGTGTGAGGTAGGGGTTCAACTTCATACGTTTGCATGTGGAGCTCCAGTTTCCCCAGCACCATTTATTGAAGACACTATTGTTTCCCCATTGAATGGTCTTGACACCCTTGTTGTAGTTAAGTATTTTCAGTGGGTTTTCATTTGTGCAATCACAACATTATTGAAGAAATGTTTACTCAGCATCATTTGCCATGTTTATTTCAGAACTTCTTTTTATGCTTTTGAAACTTTTACTGTACTACAGCATACACAGAGAAAGCACAAATATCCTAAGTGTGTACTCCTCAAGTGTTTAGAGAGTTAACACACTCATGCAGCCAGCCTCCAGAGCAAGGAACATCACCATCACCCCCCCACCATCACCCTCAGTTCCCTCATGCCCCATTTCTGCTCACTACATCCCCCTCTCTACAAGGATGTGACCACTGTCCCATTTCTGTCATTGATTCATTTTGTCTCTTGTTGAACTTTATGTAAAGGAAATTGTACAGTAAATATCCTTTTGATTTTTAATTCATTTGTTCAAATTTTTATTTCTAAGATTCACCCATATTTTTTTCCATGGATTGTAGCTCAGAAATTTTCTTAAAGAAATAAAACATGCATTCAATCCAAGACTCCCCATCCGCCACTCCTAGAAGTGTCTCTTGCACCAAGTTCCTCATTCTTAGAAATTTTAAAATACTGTTACCAGACTTGTTTGAGTACAAATAACGTGCATCATGGAGTTACATGTATTTATTCTCTATAAGAGGCATTCTGTATCATTTTTGCATTTCCTGTTTTTTTGTTTAACAATGAGTAAATTTAGTGCTATACCTACACCCACTTTATGCAGCTGAGCTGATTTTCGGTACTGCATTTTGTGACTGTACCTCTCTTCCTTCCGCCTTTTGTGGTTCTCTTTCGACAGACACTAGTTAGCTGCCACTGGCCAGAGCACAGCTCTGCACAGCCTTGTCTGCTCGAGAGTCCATTGTATGGATGTCGGTGTCTCGGTGCAGTTCTCCCAGAGGGAGCGTTGCCGGCTTGTGGAATACGCAGATCTTTAACTCCACCGGGCGTCCTCGGCTCCTTCTCCACAGGCTTGCTCTAATCTCAGCTCCCTCCACATTGGATAGAGTCAGACTTTTACCGTGTTGCCTCTCTGAAGAGACTGGATTAGCATCTTGTCTTCCTATTTGCGCTTTTACTCATGGGGACCACACTTCACAGCCAGGGGAGCCTGGGAATCCTGGGTTCCTAGGCCACTTTCTTCCTAAACCTGGCTGGTCACCGGAATTACGGGGGCTCCGAGTGAGTGAGGGTACTTGGTTCCATCCAGGCCTGTTTTGGTATTGGGAGGTTGCTGGTGTGTCTAAAGGTTCCGTGCGCCATCTGCCATGGCTGGAGAAAACTCTGCCTCTGATCATGAGAATCTTTGGAACAAGAGTCTCATTTTTTTCTGGATTTAATGAGGATCTCTACCACCCTGTCTACCCAAGTCTTTCTTGCCCAAGGGATCCAAGTTACAGATTCTGTTCTAGTCATTAGGAATAGTAGTATTAGAAATTGGTAATAGTAGTGATAGCCTGCAACCTGGGCATGCGCCCTGACCTGGAATCGAACCGTGACTTCCTGGTTCATAGGTCGATGCTCAACCACTGAGCCACGCTGGCTGGGCCCAGCAGGTGCTTTTATGCTCTATGGGGTGTGTGTCCTTGGCACTTCAGGCAGGAGGGAGCTCCGCTCCCACATACCTGCTGCCTTTCTCGCTGGCCTCAGCCTCCGTGACCCGGGGCCTCCACATCTGAGCACACATCGGACGTGAGGAGGACCGTGGCCTCGGAGCCACAGCGTAGATCCTGAGGATGAGAGACATTATCTCCTGTGGAGTCACTTTAACTTCGTTCCAGCCTTTATCTCCCCAAGCGCGAGGGCCGTGGGCTCTGCTAAAGCCATCTCAGGGCTGAGTCATAGGACTGGTCCCGTAGCGGCCATCCCAGAGCGAGGGGGCAGCCTGCACCCGCCCTTCCTCTGGTGGGAAGGGACTCTCATTCCCAGACACTTTGTCAGACGTGGCCCCGCGTCTTCCCTCAGCGAGAGCAGGACGCATTCCCCGAGGCGGGGTGCTGTCGGGTGGGCAGATATATCATCTGAAAACAGCACTCTCTCCTGCCCAGGCTATGAAAAAGTCAGCATTCAGTTGCCCTTTGGAACAAATAATTATATAAAGAAGAAGATCAAAATTACTTGTCTTTACTTTCCCACCAAAGGCGGCCGTGGCGACCTCCTCGGAGCATTTCCCACCGGTTTTTTCCAAGCACACGAGTGTGCATATCTGTGACCATTTTTATAAAGTTGGCATTGAACTCCATAGAAGGCTTTCTAAATTGCTCCTCTCCAATGAACTATGCATGGTGGAATTTTCTCATGTTGTTAAAACATGGTTTTTTAACAAGACTTTTAACGTGTGCATGGTGTTTTGTTGGAAAAAAATGTACCGTTATTTAATTACTGGAGGCCCAGTGCATGTGACCCTCAGCCCAGCCTATACCCTCTCATCTGGGACCCCCCAAGGGATGTCCGACTGCCAGTTTAGGCCCGATCCCACAGGACCTAAACTGGCAGTCGGACATCCGTCTCACAATCCGGGACTGCTGGCTCCCAACTGCTTATCTGCCTGCCAGCCTGATTACCCCCTAACCACTCCCCTGCCAGCCTGATTGACGCCTAAATGCTCCCCTGCCAGTCCGATTGTCCCTAACTGCCCTCCTCTGCCGCCTGGTCACCCCTAATTGCCCTCCCTTGCTGCCCTCCCTAACTGCCCTTCTCTGCAGGCCTGATCACCTCTAACTGCCCTCCCCTGCTGGCCATCTTGTGGCAGCCATCTTTGACCACATGGGGGCAGCCATCTTGTGCGAAGGTGTGAGGGTCAATTTGCATATTACCTCTTTATTATATAGGATATATATATTTGGATGCTTAGGTTGTTTTTCATTTCTCGCTGCTGAGGGAACATCTATGAGCAGCCGTCTTTGGCAGGCTGTCTTTGATGCAATGCATATTATTTTGCTCATTTTTCTTGGTTTCTGACCTGTCTTCCTCTTTCTCTTGGCTATTGATGGGTGGAAGTCAGTCAGCATCCTGCGTGTTCGGACCAGTTTTGCATGTTGCATGTATCTCACTCGGGGTCTCATGCTGGGGCCCCGTTGCCCGCAGGTGACATCTGTAAGTACCTGGAGGCAGTGTTGGCTGTCACAGCTCCAAGGTGGCATCTGGTGGGTAGAGGCCGGACAGCCTCCTCAGAGAATCCGCGCCGCTGTTCACCGTGGCGGGGCCGGGAATGTGTCCGTATATCCTGTCTGTTATTGGAAAACAATCGTCCGTCACCTGACGCGACGGCGTTTCAGCCAGCGATAAAGGCTCTTGGTTTGTTTCGTGACGGTTGGCAGTTAGGGTTCGCTCTTGCCTGGTTCACCAGCCCTCGCAAACGTGGTGGCACCGCCTGGCGCTCGCAGAGTGAAGCCGGGTCTGCGAAAGTCTGTCTGTCTTCTCAGAAGGTGGGTCCAGCCCAGAGGAACCCACTTCTTCGGGGCTCGTGTGCATGTGCTTCTGGAGGGAGGGAGGCCGTGCCGCCTGCTCTGCTCCTCTTGTGCCCAGGACATCCCACTGCCGCCCCGCGCAGAGGGTGCCGAAGGGCCGCTGGCGTAGGTCACCCTCTGGTCATTGTTTGCACAGAAGAGGTCTTTGAACAGGTGCCAGTGCCAGGCCTCGGTGGGAAAGAGATGAGGCCCCCTAACAGTGCCGCCCACCCGGCAGATCACTCTGAATTTATAGCGCCATCTTGCCACAACATGGGAACGCAGTGACCTGGGGATGAACTTGGAGGGAGGAAGTGACTCATGGGAGGAGACAGTCCACACAGTATTTACGTTGGACGGGAGGCTGAGGTCTCTCGGGTCCCCGCCGGAGGAGAGGAAGCCGGGGAGAGGCCTCCTTTCCGACGGCCCCCTTGTCAGCACCATCAGGGTGAAGGGGAAGGGAAAAAAAAAACAAAAAAACCTCCGAGGCTTTCATGTCCAGACCCCATAGGTCCCCTTGGCCTGAGTCACCGGTGAGCGGGGGCGCGATCTGCTGCGACAAGGCGCCGCCCAGAGCTTTCGGACGCGGGCGGGCGGCGCTGTGTGGCGGGCGGTGCTCTTCTGAGTGAGCACGTTGTTCTGAAAAGATCGCCGGTGATCGGAGGGCTTTGAAGGTTATTTTAAAGGAGGAAGCTGTACCGCTGATGCAGCGCTGTGTTCTTTTGTCCCCGGGGAGTAGAATGTAGGCCCCGGGTGGCCATGGCCACGCTCAGGTCCCTTGCCCGCCTCCCTGCCTCTAGCCGCCCCGTGCTGGGCCTCATCGAGGAAAGAGTCCTGGGAGGGGCGAGAACCAGCGCTTTCCCCAGCATTCCTCAGCCTGGGCGCCATGGGCACCATGGGCACTCGAGGCTGGGTGGTTCTTGGTTGTGAGTCTGTCCTGTAGGCTGTTCAGCAGCCTCCTGGTCTGTACCCACTAGACTCCAGCAGCACCACCCCTTCCGCTGTGACAACCAGAAATGTCTCCGGGGCAGGAGCCGGGGGGGGGGGGCGGGGGGGCGGGCAGGGGGGAGGGGATTGCCCCCACTGAGGACCTCTGTGCTGAGAAGCCTCCCTCTCCACATACAGTGTGACCCAGGGCTGTGGGGTTACTGCCACTCCGGCGGACAGGGGTGCCCGGGGTGGGCACTGCCTGTGTGTCCGGCCCTTTGCTACGTAGATGGTCACGTTTGAGCCACACACACCTCTGCAGTACGAGTTGTCAGGGTCCCTGTTTTACAGGGGAGGAAACTGAGGTTTAGAGAAAAGAAGTAGCTTGTCCCATGGGGGATCGGCTGGGGCTGGTACCAGGTTCGAGCATTTGATGGCTGTACCGTGGGTTACCCGTTCCCCAGAACGTCTGGCCAGGCAAGCTGGGACTCCCTAGCCCAGTGCTCAGATACCCGGGGGGGTTGGCGTGCAGCGGAGGTTTTGCCTCCCAGGGGACATGTGCTCATGTCTGGAGATGTTTTCTGTGTCTCCTTGGGGTGCTGCTGGTGCCTGGTGGGAGAGGGCCAGGGACGCTGCCGGAGACCCTGCCCGCTCGGCAGAGAGTCCTCCTGGCGAGTGTCGGAGTGCCAGGGCCAAGAAGCCCTGGTCCAGGGGATTGTCTCCAGGTCTGCGTTCCCCCTAACCCCCCCGCCCCCTCCCCCCCCATGGTGATACTGGCCGGCCAGGGTGTAAACGTAGTTATCTTACAGCGTGGAGCTGTTCCTGCTGGCCTGGTAGTTACTTTAGAAAAACACTAAGTTCTTAAATCCTTTTGATCTTGCTTTCATCACTTAATAATTTTTCAGATGCTCTGAGTTTTGTGCTGTTTTCTGTGGCCTTTGCCCCAGGGCGGGGGCGCCCCCTCTGGCTTTTTATCTCGGGCCAAGTGGAAACCATGGGCGTCTGCCGAGGACACGCAGTGTGCCAGCTGTCACGGGCGGCGGGCACGGGAGCGTTCCTCCCCTCACTCCTGCCTCCCGGCCCCTCCCCTCCCCTCCAGGACGAGTCCACGGGGGAAATTACCTTCTACATCAAGGGCGCCGACGTGGTCATGGCTGGCATCGTGCAGTACAACGACTGGCTGGAGGAAGAGGTGAGCCTGATGAGGGCGTGGGAACCCGAGGCCTGCCCTCACAGGGGGTCAGGAGCGGGGAGGGGTCTCTGTATTCGTTATCCACGTAGCACATCACCCCAGAATGCCGCAGCTTCGCATAACACATTCAATTCTCTTGGTTTCTATGGGTCAAGAATGCGGGCACAGCCTGGCTGGGTCCTCCACCGCGTCTCTCACAGGCTGCAGTCAAGGGGTCGGCTGGGGCTGGGGGCTCATCTGAAGCCTCAGCCGGGGCAGGACCCTGTCCAGACCCAGAGGTCTTGGGCAGGAGTCAGCTCTTCGGTGGCTGTTGGCTGGAGGCTGCCACGTTCTTTGTCACGTGGACCTTCCCGCAGGGCCGCTCCCAGTGGGGCAGCTGGCTCTGGCAGAGGGGCAAGCGAGGGAGCGGGACAGGCGGAGAGACGGACGTCACCTGCTCTCGGAAGGGACCTCCCCTCACTTTGCCACACGCTTTGCTGGGAACAGGGCACTGGGCCCAGCACATACTCGGGAAGTGACTATACAGGGGCGTGGCTACTACATCTTCAACGAGGTGGTTTGCAAACACAAATGCCGACGGGGCCAGGCAGATAACTCAGACGGAACTGGCTGGCAGGTTCGGTATATTAAAGGCACGGGAGTGCTGCCAGCTGGGCACCTGTCTGCCGGCCGCCCATGGAGGTGGCCGCATGTCACCACCAGCTACTGCAGTTATATGGGAACATGTCAGAGGTTCCGTCTTCCCAGCAAGCCGGAAATCCACGTCTTCCCGGGCAGCGTTACACCCTGGACTTAAATTGCGGAGCCTGCGGTGCCCATCACAGAACACTTAGGTCGTGTGGCCCGTGGGCCACGCCACGCCCTCCCCTGGGAAGGTCCACTCCGGGAGACGGCTTGGGGAAGCCAGGGTCTGGTGGGGGTGCTGTCCCCATGGGAGGGGCTGTCCCCTCAGCGTCTGGCCCTCCTCAGCGGGCGTCAGGGCCCGGGCAGAGCCCCAGCGGCCCCACTCACCACCCTCTGCTCCACAGTGTGGGAACATGGCCCGCGAGGGGCTGCGGGTGCTCGTGGTGGCGAAGAAGTCTCTGGCCGAGGAGCAGTACCAGGACTTCGAGGTGAGTGGCTCTGTGACGGCTGCTTATTCTCGGCCCTGCCCACCTGCCCGCCTGCCCGCCACGTCTCCTCCCAGCGGCCCCTCGCTCCTCCCTTTCCTGCCATCCTGCTGTCCCTCCTGGGCGCAGCCAGGTTCACTCCGGTCCCCGGCCTTTGCACTTGCCTCTGAGTGCACAGAGCTCGTGCTGCTCCACGGCCCGCTCCCTCAGCTCAAATGCCGCCGCCTCCGAGAAGTCCTCCTGGACTCCCCATCTGAGGCGGCCCCTCCTCGGTACTCCCCACCCTTCACCCCATTTAACTTCCTTCTTTGTACTTATCTGGAATGACCATGTATGTAAACGTTAATATCTCTTTTCTGGAACCAAATCTTTTTTGAGGGCACTTTGTCCCCCTGCTTGGCTCTGATATCCCCAACATGTAGGCTGGTCCTTGGCACACAGCACACCTCCTGGAAAATTTGGAATGAGGCCCTAATTTCTTAAAGCTGTAAAAAAAAAATCATTGATTTTCACAGCCAAGGGTTCCAGCATAAATATGTCGTCTTGTCCCATAGATTGTGTGTCCCTTGAAGGGAAGTGTGTTTGTTAGGTCCTCAGTCCTGGCACAAAGCCAAGCGCGCACACATGCAAGACGGGAAGGGAGAGGTGAGGCTGGGGACAGGCTCTGGGCCCTTGTCCTGTCCCACCCAGAGGAGCTGTGCTTGTCTCTGCCCCTCCTCTGTGTGAGTTCTTCGTAAAGTTTTAACGAACAAGAGGCCTAGCCCGGATCCAGCCCACCTTCCTTTCCGTTTTAAAGGCATCAGTTTGGAGTCGGCCCGTGAGGGGCCTCTGATTTTCTCCCGGGTCTTTGCCAGCACCGTAAAGAGGGGGTGAACAGAAGGGTTGGGCCGATGGTCTTGGAGAGTGGGACTTTGTCAAGGATTCCTGCTTAAAAGTGCGTTTTGTGGGGGAGAACCTACTGTTTTTCTGAGCTCTTGAGTTGTGCCAATCCTCACAACAACCCAGTGAGGTTGGGGCTGGCATTGCTGCTTCTGGATGAAAACAGTAGAGGCTCAGAGAAGGTGAGCCACTTGCTGGAAGTTGCACAGCACGTGAGTGCAGAGCCAAGGGTGGAACTCAGGTCTGTCTAACTCCCGAGTCTGGACTGTGAACTTGGAAGGGACCGGAAGCCTCCATGTCACCCCTCTGAGGTCCACACCAGGTGCGGCGGCGGGATCGGCACACCGTCCCCCTCAGTGCTGGACAGCCTTGCACCGCTCTGCCCTGAGCACGTCCCCTGCTGTGTCCCAGGCTCGCTACGTGCAGGCCAAGCTGAGCGTGCACGACCGCTCCCTCAAAGTGGCCACGGTGATCGAGAGCCTGGAGATGGAGATGGAGCTGCTGTGCCTGACGGGGGTGGAGGACCAGCTGCAGGCGGACGTGAGGCCCACGCTGGAGACGCTGCGGAACGCCGGCATCAAGGTAGGCGGCCTGTGGCGGCCTGGCTGCCCAAGTGCCGCCCGGGAAGATGGGCTCCGGAGTTACACAGCTATCCCTGGAGCAGAGTGTGAGGTGGGAGATGGGGGATGGGGAGCGTGGAGCAGAGGGAGCCAGGCGTGCAGGGGCCTCAGCCCTGTCTCAAGTGGGCCTCTCGTCACCTCCCGCCCGCAGCCCTGGTGTGGAAAGGCCTGCGCGTTCGCTTTCCTGGCCGGCCTTCCTGGCCACGCTGGGCTCCACAGGCAGGACCGCATGCGGCTCCTCGTCCCTCAGTGCCACACGTGGCCATTATATCCCTGGGAGTGGCCAGCCAGCCAGCCGCCCGGCCGTGGGTCTGGGCGAATGGGTGGCCACCCAACAGAGTGACCGCCTGCCCCAGCAAACTGCCACGTGTACGTTTTGTCCTCTACCGGTTGGGGACCCTGAATGTCCAGTCGTGTCATGGGGAGAGGCCAGCAGAGGGCGCCTGAGAGCCTCCGGAGGATCTTCCAATTCCTGGCTCAGAGCCTCTGAGAACACGTATGTGTTTCACCCGCCTCCGCCCAGAGCAGCTCCGGGCGCGTCCTCGGGCCTGTGATCCGCAGAAGCGCGGGGAGCTGGCCGCGGAAGCCTGCGGGTCAGACCTGCCGCCAGGGCGCTCCGGCCCGTCCGTGCGCATCCGGGGCCCCGTGTGTGCGAGCACAGGTGTTTGTAAACCAGACGCTGTCACGCACCCGTGGCTCATAGGAAACTGGCAGCGAGATCCCAATTTTTTTTTTGTAAGTTTCATCAAGATTCTGTTTGCACAAATTACTTCATCTCTTTGCTCCTTAGCTTCCTTAATTGTAGAATGGGGATAATAATAGGATGTACCTCATAGGTTGGTGAAGATTAGAGGAGATAAAAGCTTATAAAGTGTTTGGCCCAGTTTGGGGCCAATGAATGCTGGTTGCCACCACCAGCACCCTCACCATCATTATAATGTTTAGTTCCTCTTTTTTCTGTATTTCTAATCACAATGTTAAATCTGATCATTTCTACCTCTTATGTGGCACCCACATATATTCTTTTAAAATATATATATATATATATTATTGATTTTTTTACAGAGAGGAAGAGAGAGGGATAGACAGTTAGAAACATCGATGAGAGAGAAACATGGATCAGCTGCCTCCTGCACACCACCTACTGGGGATGTGCCCGCAACCAAGGTACATGCTCTTGACCGGAATCGAACCCTGGACTTTTCAGTCTGCAGGCCGATGTTCTATCCACTGAGCCAAACCGGTTTCGGCGAAATCCCAATCTTGAAAAAAACAAAAACGGCTGACATCAGAGGCCCATTGCTACTGCATTGTGGTGTTTTGGGGACCTTACTGTGCGACGTTGGGGCAGTCCCTTCTCTGCCCCCAGCAATGAGGGGGCTGTGACAGGGCTGGAACCTGGCAGGTCTGCTAGCAGTGCTTTGGAGTCAGGGTTAACCCCCACGGTTCCTGACCGGCGTCTGGCCAGGTGGAAAGACCCCTGTGTTCCCTGACAAAGCATGTTTCCTGTGGGACACGGAAGTGACCCTTCACCCATACAAGCCCCCCTTCCTTAGAGGTTAGCTATTGCTTTAAGGAAGACTCCCCGAGGAGGGGGTGTGAGGTCAGAGGCCGAGCTTCGTGATGTCTGCGCAGCGTGTGGCCCTGCGGTTCTCTGAGCACCACGCCGGCGTCTGCTGCCACCAACGGTGGTCGCACGGCGTCCTGACGCCCCTGACGGGGCGTTTTCTGTATGAGCCTCGAGGAGGAGGCAAATGGGACACACTAAGTCTAGCTCCATGTTCCTGGAAACCTGGCTGACGATGCAGGCGCCAGGCCGCCCCTGGCAGCACTCACCACGGGGCCTCTCTCTGCGGTGGCTCCAGGTTTGGATGCTGACGGGGGACAAGCTGGAGACTGCCACGTGCACAGCCAAGAACGCGCATCTGGTGACCAGAAACCAGGACATCCACGTGTTCCGGCTGGTAAGGGGCTCTCTGCGTGGGGCCTCATGGGGATGTGGCTGCAGTTTGCCGGTGACCTCATAACCTGGTGACCTCATAACCTGGTGACCTCTTAGCCTTGAGGGGGCCCCGAGAGGGGAGCACAGTAACCTGCTGGCGGGGGCTTCCATGGCCGGTTTGGGAGGAATCACTGACGACCCAGTGAGGCCGGAGTTCCTTCTGGCGGTGTCTCCGGAGCACCCTGTCCCGGCCCGTGTGAACGTGTGGTCTTACATGGTGGGTCGTGGGCCCTTTGAGAGGCCGCGGGGCGTGAGGCAGGATTGGCGTGAAGGATGCAGACAAGTGCATCCATGTGGAATTGTACCCCCGAGTCCAGGATTTCACCACGTCCTGGAAGGCCAGTCCTTGGGTAAGAAATAGCGTCCAGGTCGCAGGTGCTGGCCTGCAGGAACCCCTGGGAGCTTTGGAAGAAGGTGTGTGGGGTGGGCATGGGAGAAATGGCCCCAAACAAGCCGGCATGAGGGGCAGCCCAAGGCTGGCGGCCAGGGCCTGCGCCTGGCCTTACTGAGGGGATGTGCGGGGCAGGTCCCACTGGGGCACGGTGTCCACTCATCAGAAATCGGAGCCACCATACCAACGGCTGCAGGGATCTAGATGTTTGGGGGTCTCCCTCTCCACCCCTGCCTTTGGTCCATAGCACGTAGAAGCTTCCAGAAGTCCAGCTGTCTGGGGAACAGCACACACAGTGTTGCTCAGAGGCAAATCTGGTGGATCCTCACTGTCCATGGTCTCTAAGTACAGACCGCCGCCCCCCCCTCCCTAAAATCGATCTGTGACCGGAAAAGCAGTGCTCAGGTGCTTCCGGAGTCACCGGGGTCGGGGCGCGGGCACAGTCTGAGGCCCGCACGTCCCGCTGAGGACGAACAGGTGGCTCTGCCCCCTCGTTTCGGCACTCACGCTGCATAGTGTCCTTTTCACGGCCCACGGAGGGCCACCATCTTTGCATGTTCGTGCTTTCCGTTAGCGATTTCACCGTGTGCAGTGGCCCAGCACAGTGAGGAGGGACTGCCACTGTTTGGAAGCACAGGAGGGCCATGTGTGCCCATGGAGGGAGTGCATGGCTTAGCTCAGCCTCTGCCGGGCCCGCATCCAGTGCTGTCCGCCATGGGTTCAGCGTTAAGGAACCAACAAATACGTGTTTTAAAAGACGTCTTTAAGCAGACACACATGTAACACGAGGTTATGTACTGATCGGGTGGGAAGAGGTACTGTGAGCAGAGGCCTGTGCCTCCCAGGGGGCCTGGTCCGTTTGCTGACTCAGCGTTCAGGCGGGGCGGTCCAGAGCATGACGGTCACCGATCTCGAGAATCCACTCTGTCCCGGAATCCAGGGGCTGCAGACCACGGCTCCCGTGCTAGCTCCTGTTCTGGGGAACCGTTTTCTGAATGCAGATACACCCATCGTGCACACAGCTGCCGGAGGCTGCCTAGGCCCACGAAGCCCACAGTGTTCACACCTGGTGCTTCACGGGAAGCCGGCTCCCCTGCGGGGCTGCGAGGGGCGTGCCCCTGTGTGAGGCTCAGCTTCCTCACACGGGAGGCAGAGCCACTGCCCCACCCCTGGCGGCCCGTGAGAGACGCACAGGGAAACCCGGGAGTGCGGGGCAGGCTGGCCCAGGCGGGACCTGCAGCCCTTCTTGTTCTTGTTCTTTGATTTATTTATTTTTTACGTGGTCACAGCCGTCCTGGGGAAATGCAGGTGACAGACAGGCTACCCAGGCCCCACAGAGTCATCACCAACAGGATTTGATTTGGCTCAGGGTCCGGTGGCGGGGGAGAGGCAGGGGGCCTTGGCCAAGCAGCCATTGTCTCTCTGCGGCTCCAGGAAGCCTCTGTTTGTTGTTCTGCGGTCTCTGCAGAGCGAGGCCGCCTCACCCCTCGCTCCCTCCCAGGTGACCAACCGCGGCGAGGCCCACCTCGAGCTGAACGCCTTCCGCAGGAAGCACGACTGCGCCCTGGTCATCTCGGGAGACTCCCTGGAGGTAGGACCGTGGGGCGCTCCTCCCTGCTGCCGGGAGGGAAGTGGCCTTGCTGACCCCCCTCTCCCTCCCCCAACAGATCTGCCTCAAGTACTACGAGTACGAGTTCATGGAGCTGGCCTGCCAGTGCCCGGCCGTGGTCTGCTGTCGCTGCGCCCCCACGCAGAAGGCCCAGATCGTGCGCCTGCTGCAGGAGCGCACCGGGAAGCTCACCTGCGCAGTCGGTAGGCTAGTTACCTGGGCGGTAGGTAGGCTAGTTATCTGGGCGGTAGGAAGGCTAGTTATCTGGGCGGTAGGTAGGCTAGTTATCTGGGCGGTAGGAAGGCTAGTTATCTGGGCGGTAGGAAGGCTAGTTATCTGGGCGGTAGGTAGGCTAGTTATCTGGGCGGTAGGAAGGCTAGCTTACCTGGGTGGTAGGAAGGCTAGTTACCTGGGCGGTAGGAAGGCTAGTTATCTGGGCGGTAGGTAGGCTAGTTACCTGGGTGGTAGGTAGGCTAGTTATCTGGGCGGTAGGAAGGCTAGTTATCTGGGCGGTAGGTAGGCTAGTTATCTGGGCGGTAGGAAGGCTAGTTATCTGGGCGGTAGGAAGGCTAGTTATCTGGGCGGTAGGTAGGCTAGTTATCTGGGCGGTAGGAAGGCTAGTTATCTGGGCGGTAGGAAGGCTAGTTATCTGGGCGGTAGGTAGGCTAGTTATCTGGGCGGTAGGAAGGCTAGCTTACCTGGGTGGTAGGAAGGCTAGTTATCTGGGCGGTAGGAAGGCTAGTTATCTGGGCGGTAGGTAGGCTAGTTACCTGGGTGGTAGGTAGGCTAGTTATCTGGGCGGTAGGAAGGCTAGTTATCTGGGCGGTAGGAAGGCTAGTTATCTGGGCGGTAGGAAGGCTAGTTATCTGGGCGGTAGGTAGGCTAGTTACCTGGGTGGTAGGTAGGCTAGTTATCTGGGCGGTAGGAAGGCTAGTTACCTGGGCAATAGGTAGGTTAGTTATCTGGGCGGTAGGTAGGCTAGTTACCTGGGCAGTAGGAAGGCTAGTTACCTGGGCAGTAGGTAGGCTAGTTTTCTGGGCAGTAGGTAGGTAGTTATCTGGGCGGTAGGTAGGTAGTTATCTGGGCGGTAGGTAGGGTAGCTCACCGGGGGGTAAGTAGGATAGTTACCTAGGCGGTAGGTAGGGTAGCTCACTGTGTGGTAGGTAGGCTAGTTATCTGGGCGGTAGGTAGGCTAGTTACCTGGGCAGTAGGTAGGCTAGTTATCTGGGCAGTAGGTAGGTAGTTATCTGGGCAGTAGGTAGGTAGTTATCTGGGCGGTAGGTAGCTAGTTACCTGGGCAGTAGGTAGGGTAGCTCACCGGGGGGTAGGTAGGATAGTTACCTAGGCGGTAGGTAGGGTAGCTCACTGGGCGGTAGGTAGGATAGTTACCTGGGCAGTAGGTAGGGTGGCTCACCGGGGCAGTAGGTAGGGTGGCTCACCGGTGGGTAGATAGGGTAGCTCACCGGGCGGTAGGTAGTGTAGCTCACCGGGGCAGTAGGTAGGGTGGCTCACCGGGGCAGTAGGTAGGGTGGCTCACCGGGGCAGTAGGTAGGGTGGCTCACCGGGGTGGGTGGTAGGGTAGCTCAGCGGGGCGGGTGGTAGGGTAGCTCACTGGGGTGGGTGGTAGGCTGCAGCGTGAGCCTGTCCCGCTGAGTCGCTGGCTGCATTTCCTGGCGGGATATTGGACCCTGCGGCCTGTTGTTCACACTCCCCCTGCCACTTTGCTCGGGTCTTAATCTTTTCCTCCGCGGACATGGCTCTGTTTTGTTGTAATTATGATTTTTACTATTTCCCTTTGGGAAAGAGCAAACAGTGTGCCTGGGGGCTTCACTCCTTCGCTGGCCCTTTCTTCGCCGGGGACACGGGGCTGGGGGGACCACACCGGGGCTAGGGCGTTTGTGGCTGGGCACCCGGCGGCTCCTTCACGCTGAGCCCCAGCCTGCTCGCCGCTCAGGAGGGAGAGCTGCAGCGCCCCTCCCACTGGTGCTGACAGAGCAAACAGCGTCACTTTAAACTAGGTGACCAGATTGTCTCGCTTTTGGCGGGACAGTCCCGATTTTCAACAATTTTTCCCACATCCCGTGGCATTAAAAAAAAAAAAAAAAAGAACCTATTTTTTTGAAAGATTGGAAAGATTCTTTCCAAAAATCAGGACTTTTTTTAAAAACGCCTCGGGGACGGGGGAAAAATTGTTGAAAATCGGGACTGTCCCGCCAAAAGCGGGACAATCTGGTCACCTTAGTTTAAGCGCCCGTCAGGGGCAGGGCGGACAGTGGCCGTGAATGGGGCGCGGACACAGACCCCTCCGCCGTGCTGCTGGGCGGCAGGGACCCTCGGCCGGTCCGGTCCCTCTGGCAGCCGCTGGAAACCAGGCCCCGGTCCCGCAGGTGTGGGTGTGGATGTGGGTGTGGGGCGGGCAGACACGCAGTTAGCCAGCACTCACGAAAGGGCAGCACCGGTGAGACTATGGGAAGGAACCACGTTTCTTGCCTCTCCCAACTTCCCGGCTTTTCTCTCCGGTCTTGTGACCACAGGTGACGGCGGCAATGACGTCAGCATGATTCAGGAATCCGACTGCGGCGTGGGCGTGGAGGGGAAGGTGAGCGGGTGCGGGGGCCGGGGGCAGTGCCGGGTGGCGTGTCTGGAGCGGTTCCTGTCCATGAGCTGGAGTTTCTCTCTCCTCCGAGGCAGGAATGTGCTGTAAGGAACCCGCATCCTGACGACCTGGCCTTACCACCTGGGGTTAGCATTCGGATCCCTGCATCTGCAGACAGATGCTGATGTTTTGCTTGCGAAAAACCTAAGTTAAAAACAAAGGTTCTTGCCATAATCTTAGGGCACGCTAGGTGCACTTCCGACTTCTCCTTAGGGGGGTGGTGTCAGTTAGAGCCGAGTGGCCACACTGTGTGCGGAATGTGGGGGAATGGGACATGGCGGCACGTTGCTAATAGGCCGGGGTTCTTTTGAGGGTTTGTTTTTTGTTTTTTGCCCCCGGTGTGACTGCCTCCCATGGTTTGCCCGCCCTCTCTAATTTGTCCCCGCCCAGTGACGATCCACAAGAACAGTGGCCCCTAGCGTGAGGGCCGGGGCTCCCTTACATTTTGGTCTGTATCCTCATGAATTTGGCTCATCCTTTTTTTTTCTTCTTTTTCACTCTTCCTGGCTAAGTAATCCTTGAATGAAATGTTACGTATGGACTCCTTTTTTGCAGGTTTTAGGAAGACACTTGAGTTTAATAGATATAATTCTTTACTTGTGTCTATGTGGAGCCAAAACATTTCCTCTTAAAATCATACTCTGATGCCCTTGTTTTTGGATTGAAAAGGAAGAAATGGTCACTGTAAAAATTAAAACCCCTCAGAAATGGATGACGTCTCTTTTAGCCTCGTCTAGGTGGTAACATACCAGAATTTTTGTCTATGTGTATATTGCTGATTATGAATGTGTATGTATGTATTTATTGTACACATAGTCACATATATTACACATGTATGTATATTATTTTTAGGTATAGTTTTAAATTAGAAACATGCATTTAAAAATACATATTTTTATTGATTCAGAGAGGAAGGGAGGTGGGGAGAAAGAGAGAGAGAGAGAGAAACATCAATGAAGAGAGAGATTCATTGGTCGGCTGCTCCTGCCTCCTGCATGCGCCACACTGGGGATCAAGTCCGCAACCCGGACATGTGCCCTTACCAGGATTCGAACCATGACCTCCTGGTTCACAGGTCGATGCTCAACCACTGAGCCATGCTGGCTGAGCAACATTATGCCTTTTTAATGCAACTTGATGACATCTGTTGTATCTTGGATTTCTTTCTACGTCAGAACATAAAGCAGATCCGTCCTTTTTTGCTTTCCCGCAAACTTTTTATTTTGAAGATGTCACTCCTTCAGAAAAGTGGAACTAGAGCGAGGAGCACCTACCTATTCTTCACTTCAGTTGACCAGTTGTTACCCTTTGCCTCAGTTTCTTTCTCCTCCCCCAGCCCTCAAACCAGTTGGAAGTCAGCTGCAGATATGTATTACCCTTAACGACTTTAGCATGGACTTCTTAAGAAAAGAACATTCTTTTACATACTCGAAATAACATTATATGCGCCCCCCCCCCCCAAATGCCATGTTGAGATTACATTATATCAATCTCATAGTTCATTCTCCCCTGTCGTCCTCAAAACACTGAGTAAAAGTGTCTCTAGGAACCAATAAAGGGACAGTTGAGGCGTCTCCCCCGAGACCTGTGGGTGAGGCTGACTCGGTTCACAGTCTGTGTTTCTGGTGTGAGCAGCACCCGAGGGGAATTTGCATCCCCTGTTGCACCCTGTCAGTGTGTCTGTCCCACAGACGGCATCCGTCCTGTACCTTTTAAAATTACAAAATTCCACTACATGGCTGCGCTGTAAATTACTTCCACTTCTACAAATGCGCAAAGTGGCCGTGTGTGTTCAGGAATGTTCCATTTAATATTGTTAGTCGCATCTAACCCCCACCCCCCATTTTTAACTCTCAGGGAACGGAGCGTTATAAAACGCCTGTCTTCGGGGGATTCTTCGCTTCTGATGCTCATTACGGTGCGGGCCTTCCCCCCAAGGCTTAATGCTGCATCCGTCTGACCTCCAAATTACAACTATCTGTGATTTGGAATGTTTTCTGTTTAAATAAATTCCTCTTTTTAAATCGGATTTAGCCTTGGACCACCCACTGTGTGTGTAGCTTGAAACCAAAGAGCCTCTTCTTGAAGTTCCTCGGAGATCCCCTTACAGCGTTGTCTTGCTTTTCCAATTAAAACAAAGGTGCTTGCTCTGACCCCTGCGCCTCTGATGGTGCCCTGTTTGTTTCGTCGGCTTTCAGGAGGGAAAGCAGGCCTCGCTGGCTGCCGACTTCTCCATCACCCAGTTCAAGCACCTCGGCCGGCTGCTCATGGTGCACGGCCGCAACAGCTACAAGCGCTCGGCCGCCCTCAGCCAGTTCGTGATCCACCGGAGCCTGTGCATCAGCACCATGCAGGTGGGTGGGCAGCCGGTGCACCAGCACCATGCAGGGGGGTGGGCGGTGCCTCAGTACCATGCAGGTGGGTGGGCAGCCGGTGCATCAGCACCATGCAGGTGGGCGGTGCATCAGCACCATGTAGGTGGGTGGGCGGCCGGTACATCAGCACCATGCAGGGGGGTGGGTGGCCGGTGTATCAGCACCGTGCAGGGGGGTGGCCGGTGCATTAGCACCGTGCAGGTGGGTGGGCGGCCGGTACATCAGCACCATGCAGGTGGGTGGCTGGTGCATCAGCACCGTGCAGGTGGGTGGGCTGCCGCCGTCTGTGCGGGCGCGCATGGCTGTCCCGGGTAGGCCCTGGGGGTTAGGCCGTGTTGTGGAGCCGGGGTACCCGCTCCAGGCCCCATGGCACCTGATAGACCTTGAATTGCCCGGAACCTTCCTGTTGGGGTTAAAGGCTATTCTTGGGGTGTCGTATAAATGAGTAGAGTAAGGTGGCCAGACGTCCCACTTTGGGCGGGACAGTCCCGATTTTGAACAATTTGTTCCGCGTCCCGCGGTATTTAAAAAATCGGGACTTTTTAAAAATGCTGCGGGACGCGGGACAAATTGTTAGAAATTCTTTCCAAAAATCGGGACTTTTTTTTCCCCCCCTCCCTCCCGCCTGCCTGCCCGCTCCCTAAATTGGGACTTTTTTAAAACGCCACAGGACACGGCACAAATTGTTCAAAAGTGGGACTGTCCCGCCCAAAGCGGGATGTCGGGTAGATTAGAGTTGTTATAACTGGTTTGCCGGAAGGAAAAATGCTAAGTTAAATGCTAAATGGGTACTGAGTTTTCCACACGCAGGGATAAGGGCCAGTCGAGAATACCTTGCTTTTCTTGAGCGCTACCTAAACAATGGGCATCGGGCTAAGTATTCACAATGCAGCGTCTCACGCAGTCCTCACAGAGCACCCATTTCACAAACGGGGAGTCTGAGGCCCAGAGGGTGGGGCAGAGGCAGCTTGGGTCCTGTCCCTCAGGGTCAGTGTGCTCTTAATCCAGGTCTCCTCAGCCCTCCACACAGGGCTACAGCAGTTACCTGTGTACTGGGGAGGAGGCCTGCGGGATGGAAAGAACACATTTTGGGTGTTGAAGGACTGACTATCTCCTGGTTTTCCTCCGTGGGCATTCAGGTGAAAATGCTCCCAGTTATAATAAGTGGTGAGAACATGGGGATCATATATCTCGGGACCCATGGTTTTTTTCTGACCAAATCACTAAGTATAGCAGGTCCCCGAATAATGTTGACTTGTTTAAGTCCATTTCATTATAACATTGGTGACATGCTGTAGGAACTTAACTCTTTTAAAAATCAACTAGCCTATGGCTGTGGTCGGCAAACTCATCAGTCCACAGAGCCAGATATCGACAGTACAACAATTGAAATTTCTCTCTCGAGCCACATTTTTTTAAACTTAAACTTCTTCTAACGCCACTTCTTCAAAATAGACTCGCCCAGGCAATGGTATTTTGTGGAGGAGCCACACTCAAGGGGCCAGAGAGCCGCATGTGGCTCGAGAGCCACAGTTTGCCGACCACGGGCCTTACGGTAAACATTGTACATCATGTTGCTTGAAGTCACAGAACCTATCCACAGTGTTAAATGAGAACTCATTCTATTGATGATACCTTGAGCAAGACCCTTCACCCCTTGGGGCCTCAGTCTTTCCACCTGTAAAATGGGGACAGTAAGATCTGCCTCATCTCTCAGGCTCCTTTGAAAAGTAGAGCATTTTGTAAGGGACCAAGTGCGAAAGGCATCCTTACCCTTATTAATAAAACACAAGAGGATGATGTGTACAATAAGAGGACATGTATGTGTGTGGGAAAGGGGGATTAATCACACATGAAAGGCACAGCCGGGCGGTGTGCTCTGTGCTGATGAGAAGCCGCCTGGCCCGGCCTCCTCCGTGCATGCCTGTTGGGGTGGAGGCATGTTTTTAATATCTCTGCACTCAGGAGCGTGGGAGCCTTACGGTGATTTTCATCAACATGCTCTAAGCCCAAACAGCTGGCGCGGCTCATCAGACCGCATCTGCACTTTTAACTCAGGTTCGCTCCTCGATTGAGCTGGATGGGACGGTGGTTTTAATCACCGGGGAATCAGCCCGCCGCCCCCCCGGCGGGCACACAGAGGCGGGCCTGAGCGCGCTCACTTCCGTGAGGCTCGCGTGCCACCACGCACACGGCTTCAGGGAAACCTTGTCGGCGGGAATCCTTCTCTGCGCTGGGAGTGCCCTTGCCCCTGTCCACGTGCTGAAAGTGGCAAGGCCCTGTTAGACCTGGACCTTGATGTGGGTCTCCTGGATAGATACAGGCGTAGCGTTTCGTGGACCCCCCCTCCCCCCCAAAGTGCTCTTTTCAAGATGAAGTCTTGAAGGTGAGCCCGGAGCTTTTGGAGAAAGAGGCTCCCCATGGTGATGTGAAAGACGAAACACCAGATTTTTGACATTTTTACAACCATCCTTTCTTCGCAACAGCCTAGCCTGGGCTTTCTCCTTTCCGTTCTGAAATCACAGTGAGGGTGCGACCAGGGCTTCCTGCCGATGGCCGTGGCCTTGGGTGACACCTGTGTCCTGAGCTGGGCCGGGTGAACACGCATGGCAGGGGCTGAGCTGGGCTGAGTGAACACGCGTGGCAGGTGCTGAGCTGGGCCATGTTTTGAGCTGGGCTGGGTGAACACAAGTGGCGGGGGCTGAGCGGGGCCGTGTCCTGAGCTGAGCCGTGTGAACACGCGAGGCAGGGGCTGAGCTGGGCCGTGTCCTGAGCTGGGCCGTGTGAACACGCGAGGCAGGGGCTGAGCTGGGCCGTGTCCTGAGCTGGGCCGGGTGAACACACGTGGCAGGGGCTGAGCGGGGCCGTGTCCTGAGCTGGGCCGGGTGAACACACGTGGCAGGGGCTGCAGGGCGCTGTCTCGGTTAGACCTCTTCCTGATCAGAGGCTGGCTCGGCCTTTCCCTCGTGTTGCATGCATGCAAAGCCTTCAGGGAGCCGCTGCCCCTGCTTCCGTGGGTTTTCTGATCGGGGGAGTGAGCGTTGCGGCCACTTCGCTTCTGTGAGCCCGGAGAAAACCGGAGGAGGCGGGCACAGCATCAGGCTGATTGGACGCTCCGGTTTGCTTCTTCACCTCCCGTAGCTAATAGTTTGCCAACGGGGAAGCAGAGGTTTCGGGAAGGGTTTGTACAGGTCTTTATTCTTCTCGTCCAAGTGCAATTTGTAAAATTTTCAAAAATATTGCAACCTGTAGTATAAGAAGTAAGCCTTCTCTCCAACCCGCCTCCAGGGCGACTGGACGAGTCCTCCTGGCAGAGGCTGTTTCCATGTCAGCTCCCACGCAGACGCCCATTGCTGATGGTGCCTCTCCGGGCAGGCGGTGGGTGCGGAGACAGGCGGGCTAGAGCCCAGAGTGCCATTTACCTGCCCAGGTTCCCCTCCTGGACACTCAGGTGACGCGAGGACTCCATCTCCCGAGTGGTTCTGCAGAGTCACTGAGCCCATCTACGAAGTGTCCACAGAGGGGCTGAGAGGACTCTGAGTAATAAACTCCTTGGGCACGGTTCCTGGCTCTGTCCCTTGGGAGCTGTGTGATCTCGGGCAAGTTACTTAACCTCTCTGTGCCTCTTCTCATTGTTAATATGGGGATGATGATAACAGTGCCTACTTCATAAGGTTGAATAAGTATTCACTGAGCTAATATACTTTTGGGAAAAATATATATTATTGATTTTTTACAAAGAGAAAGGGAGAGGGATAGAGAGTTAGAAACATCACTGAGAGAGAAACATCCATCAGCTGCCTCCTGCTCACCTCCTACTAGGGATGCGCCCGCAATCAAGGTACATGCCTTTGACCGGAATCGAACCTGAGACCTTTCCGTCCGCAGGCCGACGCTCTATCCACTGAGCCAAACCGGTTAGGGCACGAGCTAATATACTTAAAGCACTCATGGCTCTCGGTGTAAAACAAGTGCTTTGTCGGAGGCGGGTGCTGGGTTTACAAGCACGCACGTCGGGCTTTGGGGATGGCTGTGCTAACGTCCTCTCTCTCCTCCCCCAGGCTGTCTTCTCCTCTGTGTTCTACTTCGCCTCCGTTCCTCTGTACCAAGGATTCCTCATCATTGGGTAAGGAGAGCCATTTTTTTATGAAATCACCTGAAAGGCCACAATTATATAAAGAAACATTATACAAAGTCCCCAAGTGGCCCGCCAAGCCAGGGCCAGCAATGCAGCTTAGACGTCTCTTGGAATTACCGAGTTTCTGAACTGCTAAGCCCGTAACCAGGTCAGGGACATTGGGTCCGGTAGGCTTGTGTCCCCGGCACTTGGCCCTTGGTACCTGGTAAGAGAACACCACCGGCCCACACGGGCCCACGGTTATTGGCTGCTGGGCCACCAAAGCACGAGTGAGGCTTGCAGACCACGATTCCATGGGGGTCTCAGGAAAAGAGAAAAGGGGTCTGCCCAGCACCTCCCTACGCGCTGGCCCCAGTGGACGGCCCGCTGTTGGGTGTGCGAGGCGGGAGAGTCTTGGCGGACCCCTGCGTGCCTCTGACCCATTAGTCAGGGTGTCACTTGGACCTTTGCTGCCACCAACTCACCCCATCCTGACCCGAATTCATAACGTTCCTTCTGACCTTTTCAGAGAGGCGCTCTGTCTGAGTTACCCAGGTCGGAGGAATCTAGTTACCACCTGCCCCAGATAGAGGCGCACAGGCGCCCTCCTGGCTCAGAGGAGATGCCGGAAGGCGCAGGCCCCGGGGGCAGGCGGACAGAGGGGGCCTCCCGTCTTTCTAGGTTTTGCCAGTTCAGCCTGAGAGTAGGCGCTGGACTTCTAATTGGAAAAATAGACCTTGTCCTTTGTCAGGTCCTGGAAGAGTAAAGTGAACATGCCTCTGAATATAGTGGGGCTTCCATGTTCCATGTGGCCTTCTAGGAACTGGTCCCCGGTTTTCTCTCGGTTTTCATCTCCTCTCTCCACCCCTCAGCTCCAGCCATGCCTCGCTGTCCTTCAAACAGGATGGGCACAGTGCTGCCTCAGGGCCTTTGCACTCCCTGTCTGTCTGCCGGAGGTGGGGGTGTGTGCTCTTGCTCTGATATCGGCAGGGCTGCCCCCTAGTGGATGTTTACAGATGTCATTCCCTTGGCCGCCTCCTAAAACTGCACCCCACCCTGCGTCTTAGTCCCTCTTCTCTAGGACACTTCCCTCCAACGCATGGTGGAGTTTCCTGGAGTTGTTTATGGGCTCACGTCTTTGTCTGTTTTCCATTTTGAATCTCCAGTGCTCAGGTAGAACTGGCCCGGCGCACAGCAGGCACTCTGTCCGTGGCTGTCGATGGATGAATGGGAATGGGCCAGGCCTCACCTGCAGTGCTTTCTCTCCTAGGTATTCCACCATCTACACCATGTTCCCTGTGTTTTCTCTGGTCCTGGACAAGGACGTCAAATCAGAAGTCGCCATGCTGTATCCTGAGCTCTACAAGGATCTCCTCAAGGTTCACCGAGCTCCTTCCCCTTTTCCTCCCTCCCTCCTTCCTTCCTTCCTTCTCTCCTTCCCTCCCTCCTTCCTTCCTTTCTTCTCCCTTCCCCCCTCCTTTCCCCTTCCTCCTCCCTTCCTCCTCTTCCTTCCTTCCTCCTCCCTTCCTTTCTCCCTTCTTTCCTCCCTTCCTTCCTTCCTCCCTCCCTCTTTCCTTTCTTCCTCTTCTTCCCTCTTCCTCCCTCTTCCCTCTCTTCTTCCCTCCCTTCCTTTCCCTCCCCTTCTTACTTCCTTCCTCCATCCCTCCTTTTTCTGTATTTCATATAAAAGATATCAGATTTGAACACACTTGAACTGGTGGCTTTGAGGAGAAAGGCATGAGAGTTTTTCCCCCTTAAAAAAGTAACATATACCCAGTAAAGGATATTGAACTCTACTGTAATATATAAGTGGAAAACAAGCCAACTAACAACATTTTTAAAAGCTCTGGGCAGTTTTGTGTGTGCTCCTAGAAATGTCTATGTACACATCTGAAAAGTGTGCGCGTGTGTGCAGTGTGTGCATTTGTGTGTGTGTGTGTGTGTGTGTGTAATTTCATTTGTTCTTGAGGAGTTTTTTACTAAAGGGCAGACTTACACTGAATGGCCAGATTATTATGATCTCTGAACGCATAATAATCTGGCTACTCAGTGTATATCCTATATAATAAAAGGCTGATATGCAAATTGTCCCCTCGACCAGCAGGCAGGCCGGCCAACCACCCATGTCCCCTCCCCCTGGCCAGGCTAGCGGGTTCCCACCCATGCACAAATTCATGCACCAGGTCTCTAACATACACACACACACACACACACACACACACACACACACACACTCACTGAGTGGCCAGATTATTATGTGTTCAGAGATCATAATAATCTGGCCACTGAGTGTATTCCTATCTAGTATCGTTTCTCTTTAAAAAATATAACTTATTTAATGTACTCAGATATGTGGAAGCCACTTCTTTTGATGAAGACAGGCAGGTGGCCTTGTCGCGTTTGGGGAGGAGGCAGCGGGCACCCTGGCCAAGCCACGCACGGTAACCTGTCCTGTCTCTCTCTCCTGCAGGGACGGCCGCTGTCCTACAAGACATTCTTAATATGGGTTTTGATTAGCATCTATCAAGGTAAGAGAGGCCAACCCACCTCTTGTCTTCTGCTCCGGCCTCGGCCCCAGGCCAGCTTACTGTACGCTCTGTTGTCTGTAGGACGAAGAAGCTGGGACCCTTGAATAGCATAGGGAGCGTGTCAGCATCCCCTGGGAGACCCACTCCGCGCGTCCTAAGGACTAGAATATGCAGAGAGAGGGATAGAGAGCTAGAAACATCGATGAGAAAGAAACATCGACTAGCTGCCTCCTGCATAACCCCTACCGGGGATGTGCCCGCAACTAGTGTACATGCCTTTGACCGGAGTTGAACCTGGGACCTTTCAGTCTGCAGGCCGACGCTCTATCCACTGAGCCAAACTGGTTTTGGCAATATACTTAAATTTCTATTTCTTGTTCCATCCGCTTCAGATAGTTAACCTCTCCCTATCTTCCTCCTTCCCCCTCCCCTTCACCGCACCCCCGCAGTTATAGACTCTTGATTACACAGGGTCAGAAGGGGAAATCGGAAAATTAGACAAAACTAGAAGGTGGTGCCTCCTTAACACTTGCATAAAGCACCCACTCCTTCAGCAAGTGGTGCCTTTTCATGTCTTTTTTTTTAAAAAAAATATATTTTATACAGAGAGGAAGGGAGAGAAATAATTAGAAACATCGATGAGAGAGAATCATCGATCAGCTGCCTCTTGCACACCCCCTATTGGGGATATGCCCGCAACCAAGGTACATGCCCTTGACCGGAATCGAACCCGGGACCTTTTAGTCCCCAAGCCGACACTCTATCCATTGAACCAAACCGGTTTCGGCACCTTTTCATGTCTTAAAGGAAAAACACATGAAAAAAAAAAAAGGTGTCTGATGTGAGCGAGCCGTGAGCCTGTGGGGGGGGGGCGGGAAATGGGGACCCGCGCTCCCGGGGAGGGTGCCGCCATGGCGGCAGCAGCCTCCCCACCGCCCGCTCCTCCCTCCCTCCAGGGAGCACCATCATGTACGGGGCACTGCTGCTCTTCGAGTCCGAGTTCGTGCACATCGTGGCCATCTCCTTCACGTCGCTGATCCTCACGGAGCTGCTCATGGTGGCCTTGACCATCCAGACCTGGCACTGGCTCATGACGGTGGCCGAGCTGCTCAGCCTGGCCTGCTACGTGGCCTCGCTGGTGTTCCTGCACGAGTTCATCGGTGAGGCCCCGCCCCGCCCCGCCCCCTGCACGGAGAGCCTGCCTGTTGCCTCTGAGGTCTCGCCCGCTTGAGAAGGAAGGCCGCCCCCGAAGGTGACCAGATGTCCCGCTTTGGGCGGGACAGTCCCGATCTTTAACAATTTGTCCCGCGGCGTTTTAAAAAAAGTCCTGATTTTTGGAAAGAATTAAAAAAAATTTTTTTTAAATTTATTTTAAAATATATTTTATTGATTTTTTACAGAGAGGAAAGGAGAGAGATAGAGAGTTAGAAACATCGATGAGAGAGTCATCGATCAGCTGCCTCCTGCACGCCTCCTACTGGGGATGCACCCGCAACCAAGGTACATGGCCTTGACTGGAATCGAACCTGGGACCCTTTAGTCCGCAGGCCAACGCTCTATCCACTGAGCCACATCGGTGTCGGCTGGAAAGAATTTTTAACAATTTGTCCCGCGTCCCGTGGCATTTTAAAAAAGTTCCGATTTTTGTCCAAAAATCAGGACTTTTTTAAAACGCTGCGGGACAAATTGTTAGAAATTGGGACTGTCCCCCCCAAAGCGGGACATCTGGTCACCTTACAGCCCCCAGCGCTGGGGTCCTGGGCTCCGTGTCCAGCAGGCCGTGGCCCTCGGCTGCTCCACGGACGGCGTCGCCGTGGGACGAGGGGCACCGGGGCAGGGTCTCTGGAGGGCGCTTCCTTTGAGACCCGGATGTGCGGGCTGGCTCCGCGGAGGATTCTGTATTGCTCCTCGAGGGCCCCGGGGTTTCCCAGGCCGGACGCCATGCTGGGCTCCGTGCCGGAGGGAGCTGTCGAGCGCCCGGGTCTTGCTGGTGAATGAACGACAGGGTCCAGGACTTAGCATTCTCCCCTGGGGAAACTGCTGGACCAGGAAGTGCCTCTGACCACGTCTCTGGTGCCTCAGCAAACACTCCTTAAAAGGGTGTTGGTAAAGATAAAGGAGCCTCCGTGTGGAAAGTCTTAGAACAATTTCACACGTGTCCCCAAAGGTTCAAGTGGTCTTGTAAGCACCTACTGTGTGCTCAGTGGCTTGAGGCTGGGGGGTGGGGACGCTCCCAGGGGCTTAGAGAAGCTGTGGTCGGTCCCCTTACATGTGCATCTGCCCTAGGACTGGGTGAGCAACAGACAGTGGCCTTAGGGCTGGCACTTAGTAGGTGCTTCATCAACGCCAGCCGTGTTTTCCCCATCCTGTGCTCGGGCAGTGGGGGCATGTGTACTGTGCCCTCCATTCCGTGGACAAGGGAAGCCACCAGCTGTCGCTCCCCTAGCACCTGAGGGGCGTGCCTGTCCTCAGGGCAAAACCCCGAGCTTACGACCAGGGGGCCCAGCTGCCTTGCGCCGCCCCCAGACCCGTCCCCCGCTCCCTGTGACCGTCACAGACAAAGGGGAAACGGGTGGGGAAGCACTCTCTGCTCTCCGGCGGCCCGTGTTTAAAAAGAAAAACTCCAGCTGTCAGAGTCCAAATCAGAAACACCTGTAGGAACCGGTTTCCGTTTCCCAGTTGTTGAAAAGCGCGGTTCACCGAGGACCAGGAATACAGAAGCAGGTCAGAGAGAGGGGAGTGGAGGCAGGCCGGGCCGACAGCCTGGAAGATGGAGTGGAGGGAGGGAGCCACGCCAGGAGGCCGTGTGTGTGTGTGTGTGTATGTGTATGTGTGAATGAGTGTGTATATGTGTGTATGTGTGGGTGTGTGTATATGTGTGTTATGTGTGAATATATGTGTGTATGTGTGTATATATGTGTGTATGTGTGGGTGTGTGTATATGTGTGTGTATGTGTGTGTATATGTGTGTTATGTGTGAGTGTGTGTATATATGTGTGAGTATGTGTGTGCGTATGTGTGTATTCGTGTGTGAGGGTGTCTGTATGTGTGTGTGTATGTGTGAGTCTTTGTGTGTGAGTGTGTGTATGTGTGTGTGTATATGTGTGTACATGGGTGTGAGTGTGTGTGTATGTGAGTGTGTGTGTTTGTGTGTGTGAGTGTAAGAGAGTGTGTGTGTATGTGTGTATATATGTGTGTGAATGAGTGAGTGTGTGTGTGTGTGGTGGGGGATAGCTGCGGTGGCCGTTTCTGGACCGCTCGTGTCGTCTGGAACATTCCTGCCCTCTCACGCTGTCTTCCCGTTCTCTTGCAGACGTGTACTTCATCGCCACGCTGTCCTTCCTGTGGAAAGTGTCCGCCATCACGCTGGTCAGCTGCCTGCCCCTCTACATCCTCAAGTACCTGCGCAGACGGTTCTCGCCGCCCAGCTACTCCAAGCTCACCTCCTAGCCGAGTGCGCGGGCGGACGCTGGTCCCCGCTCTCGCCGGACAGTTCAGTCCCTTCCTCCTCCCGTTCCTCCTCGCCCGCCCAGGGCTCTGCGGGCGCGACACTGCGGTGTGGACGTGAGGAGGCTCTGCCTGGATCCCGCCCGGATGGATAACCGGGAGGGGGTCCTGGAGGAGCCCGCCCGGCCGGCCCGCCTGAACCCGGGGGTCCCGACGGGAGTGACTGTGAACGTGTCCCCGTGGGTGGCTCAGCAGGAGATGTGGACGCGGGTCGCTGTGCCAGCTTCCGTATGACTTGAATGTGTTGTCATGTGATAAAGCTTCTGTCAAGTGGAAGATTGGAGAGGATTTCTGATTTGTTTGTCTTTTTCAACAGTTCTAACGTGTGTACATGCTTCATGTCTTTCCTGCCCCTGGAAACCGGCTTTGGAGAAATGTAAAGGTTTGGGGGGAAAGACAGTGCGTTTGGTAAAAAGTTACCCAGACACCAGTCTCAGTCTGGAAACGCCAGGTGTCCCTGGAAGGCAGGCCCCGCTATTGGAGCCACGGGCTTCCTGGGATCACAAACGGGCAAATGGGAGGCGAGGGAGCACGTGTGTAAATCCAGTTGTCCCGCCTTGCTCAGCATCCTCACCCGGGTCAGGTCCCCCCCTCCTCGTAAAGGATGCCAAAGCGTCACTCTGCTTTGTTGGGACCTCAGAGCCCGTGGCCGCCTAGGACATCCTCTGGGAGTTGTTTTCGCAGGAAATGTGCCACCGAACAGCCCCTTCCTATGTCGACAGGGTGGTAAGAGACAGCTGATTCTTTAGACATGGAGCTCACACGGCTCGGACCCTAGTCCAGAGCGGGAAGGCCGGGACCGGGGCTCTTGACCTGCACGGAGACCTGTTTCTGTCGGGAGGAGGATTGAGGACGAAAGGACAGAGGCAGCGGCTTCTTGCCATGTTGCCTTGCACGGTGGCAGCTGCGAGCAGGGAGCCTGTGGGAGGAGGCCGGCTGTGGCCTGGGCCTGGGCTCTGCTCCACAGCCTGCGGACTTCCTGGACGGGGGCTTCCGAAGGCAGCCAGGGGCCGAGCCGCCTCCCCACGGGCTGCAGCGGGCGTGGTGGTTCTTACAAAGCCGTGGCTTCTCCATTCAGACAGGAAGGGGGTTTCCCGGCACTGAACGTGGCAGGGCCAGGCGCTCAGCAGGTCACGCCGTGCCACGGCCACATAGGCAGGCCCCGAGGGTTCAGCTGGCGGGTCTTCAGGAGATGACTGAGGCCTTAGATGATTAATCCTATTGGTGGTGAGTACATGCCCTTCCCCCCCGTCGCCATGGCGCTTCTGTGTGTGCTTCAGAGACGGAGGCCCGGCCTGGGTGCTGACACCCACGACCCGAGGGCCCCCTCTCCGGGGACACGAGGAGCTGGCGTGTCTCGCCTATCCTTCCTATGCTCATGTGTTTCTGTTGCCTTTGTACATCTCTGTAAAGTGACAGCAGGCACTGGGAAACGGGCTGTTGACAGCACTTCTGTATTAAGATTCTGCCATTTTGCAGTATTTGCCCCTCTGTTCCAGCCATGTCCGCCTCCCACCAGTATCTGCAGAGAGCGTGTACAGGGTGAGGCAAACGTAGGCTTACAGTTGTTCATATGGAGGCATAATATGTTAATTAATAAATGATGATATAAGAGTAAACTGTTTGGCATACTCATAACTGTAAAACCCCCCCCACCCCCCCACCCCCCCCCCGGGAATGCAGTAAAGGAATGGCTGTTTCAGAACAGGATTTTTGCCTAGAACTCTCGGAAAGGTCGAACGGCACTATTTTAAGCAGTTTCGAGGGTAGAGGAGGAGAAGGCTGTGCTCCGAGGGCCTGCACCTGGCTGCTGTTCTGGGCGTCAGGAGTCTTAAGTGATTGCACTCTGCGATTGCCGGCCTGGGGCCTGCTGCAGCTGGCGCGGGGCATGTGGCTTCCTTCTGGGAACATCAGGGTGTTTGCAGCAGACACGGGACGAAGGTGGTTTCTGCGGTCTTCTCCTGGAGTCCCGTTTTGCGAAAGGTGCGTGAGCTGACCTCTAAGATTCCGCTTGGCGTCTCGAGGGGAAAATGCGTCTAAGGTAGAGGCTGGATGAGTCTTAGATAAGGTGACCAGACGGGACGGTCCCGATTTTCAACAATTTGTGCCGCGTCCCGCAGCGTTTTAAAAAAGTCCCGATTTTTCTTAAAAAATCGGGACTTTTTTAAAACGTCGCGGGACACGGCAAATTGTCACCTTAGTCTAATAGGGGCTGGAGAAGCCATCCCGGGAGGTGATGGGTGTCACCAAACACGCCTGTCTGCTGCCCGGTGGAGGCAGCGGGCGAGAAGGATGAAACCCGTGGGGACCGCCACGGGGTAAACCCCTGTCGGTGGGCAGCCTGCTCACGCCCCTGCTGGGGTCCGGGGGCGCCTAGGAGCGGGGATCCTTCCCTGCTCCCATCAGACGAATCCCCACAGAGAACTGTGTCCGCTGGGCGATTCCGGGGGTATCGTAGTTGTTGGGGGGAACTAAGACACAAAACACTCGAGCTGTTTTGAGGGAAACTCCCAGGTTCATAACCTTGACCTCGAGGCTTCTGTTGACCGCTTTCTGGGTTCATCAACCGGGAAAGATCTCCCCTCTTTGCCGTGGAAGTCCATGGAACCTCAGGCCCCACAGCCAATGGGATCTGAGGCCGGAGGCCCCATGGCCGCTACCAGCCCTTTAAACACTTCCTTCTGGGAAAAATAACTCCCTCCAGGAATTTGTGCCAGAGTAAGCTCTTTTGCTATTTATGGTTATTATGTCTTTTGGTGATGGTGTGTGTGTGTGTTGGGGAGGGACAGTAAGAATGGTTTCTGTTTGTCCCCCCTCATCCTTCCTTTCTCTAAGAAAATGGCCAGGCAAACCCCTGGGTGCCCTGCCCTCTCTGGTGGTTGACCTGCCTCTGGGAGCCTGCGTGCAGGCGGGAGGAGCCCGTGGTGGTGGGGGAGGCTCTGGGGGAGGAGCCTGTGGTGGTGGGGGAGGCTCTGGGGGAGGAGCCTGTGGTGGTGGGGGAGGCTCTGGGGGTGGAGCCCGTGGTGGTGGTGGGGAGGCTCTGGGGGTGGAGCCCGTGGTGGTGGTGGGGAGGCTCTGGGGGAGGAGCCTGTGGTGGTGGGGAGGCCCTGGAGGAGGAGCCTGTGGTGGTGGGGAGGCCCTGGGGGAGGAGCCTGTGGTGGGGGGGAGGCTCTGGGGGAGGAGCCCGTGGTGGTGGGGGAGGCTCTGGGGGAGGAGCCCGTGGTGGTGGGGAGGCTCTGGGGGAGGAGCCTGTGGTGGTGGGGGAGGCTCTGGGGGAGGAGCCTGTGGTGGTGGGGGAGGCTCTGGGGGAGGAGCCCGTGGTGGTGGGGGAGGCTCTGGGGGAGGAGCCTGTGGTGGTGGTGGGGAGGCTCTGGGGGAGGCTGGCTGCATGGCCATGGGCTGCTGGGGCGAAGGACATGGCACCCGGAGCTGGGAGGCCCGGAGCCGGGGTTTCGCCCGCCGTCGGCGTTATTAGGTCCAGGTCCCAGACTCGCTTCCCGAAGTGCAACCCTTTCTTGTCGCAGTAATCTCAAATGCCAGCAACTGCTTACCGGCCCCCAGCTTCTCTGCTGAAAACGTACGTAGGTTACTGACAGCTTCGGGATGTATTTTGCGTTCTTTACTCATTGGAAATGGACATCAGAATGCCTATTTTTCCTCCTCCAGACTTTTGTTTTCATACTTTCTTTTTTTTTTTTAAACTGAGTTGGGAATGGCAATACCCTCATACCTTTTATGGGGCAGCATTTTAAACCTTCGCCAAAATTTCAAATGGGATGGATGTGTTCTCTCTATCAGCTATTTTAGTGTGTGTGTGTGTGTGTGGGGGGGGGGGGGTGGATGATGTTATCTCAAGGTGTTTGAAGAGGTATTTGGTTTGGGTCAACATCCCATCATGCCCAGCTTTGTGATCATTAAAGAAACAATCACCATGAGCTTTGTAGGTACAACAGATTTTCCGTCTCTTCCCTTTTAAGGTAAAACTTTGGCCGTGCCTGTATACTTCTTAGGAAATGGTCCCATTAATTGTGTCTCTTTCACCCTGGAGAGACGCTCGCTGTGCTGTTGGAGGGATGGAAGGCGCAGAGCGAGCCGGGCTCCCAGGAGCCTGAGGCCGCAGCACCTGCCGCCAGAGCAGCGCCACCTGTGAAACCGCGTCTTGTTCCTGCACGGCGGGCGGGCGGTCTGTCTGTCTGTCCGAGTGGCCAGACGGCTCCCTGACCGCTGTGACTGTTGGGGCAGGCGGCCGTGCGGTGTTTGCCGGAAGAAAAGCTGGTGGCTGGTTTCTGGTCCCCGCAGGGAGGGGCCAGGAGCTCCTGCTCAGAGCGCTGTGACCCCTGCGGCGCTCACGGCAGCGGCTCTGATTAGAGGAAGCTGGCGCGGGCGCTCCATTCAGCGGGAACTGCCAGATGCTTTACATCCTCGCCCTGTGATGACACACCTGTGATCCCGCGTGTTTCCGAGTGGCTCTGCTTTCATTGTCTGCCAGTGTGGCCTGTGGCCGTTGCCAATAAAGCTTGTGCACTGACGCTTCGGGGGTCGTTTCAATTTGTGTGCAAACATGGGTCCTGGTGTCAAAACGAGGGCCTTTATTGTAATGCTTCTCTCTTGTGCAGATCTCATAAAATGAGATCAATAGTAAATAGCTTTTTCTCCATTTGAATTGTTTAATTTTACCAAAAAACACAACAAACCCATCTACCCCAAGCCCATGCATTATTTATTATCCTGTGCTGTTGTGCATTCCAGACACGTCGGCATTTCAAACAGCGGTCGACATACATAGAAAGAAGGGAGGAAAGCGTTCGACAAGATTCATGCTTTATTTACACACACACACACACACACACACACACACACACACACACACACACGGTCTTTGATTGCTTCGATCCTTTTATACTTTTTGAATCACGTGACAAGATGTAGGGACACGGTGACTT